ATTTTTCTATTTGTTATTCATCGCCTATTAGTATTGTAAATAAATTGTATTAATAAATTATGTGCGGTTCATTATATTACGGTTTAGTCAATATTTGTTACACATTATTTATGTACCGCTTGTACTATAAAATTATAGCCTTTCTATTTTGTTATTTTTTGGCAGAAATTGTTATTATGTTTGAAAGAAGTTTTAAATTTTATTTTTAATTAAATATATATTGTAATTTACATTAATTAAATTATAGTTGAAAAGCAATCTTCATAAATTAACCAATTTCTAACTAAAATCTATACTAATTTTATACTTTATGGTAGACAATGTAACTATTATTATTATATTTTAACTTTACTTCTAAATTATTATATAAATAAACGTTTGGTCTTCTGTAATACATTGATTCTAATTTTTGCTATAAATAATTATTTTTTTAAATAAATTAAATTAAATTAGAATTGTTTTATCTTTAATTAAATTTGTCAATTTATTATTTGATTAACTTTTTTCTTTGCTTTGTTTATAAATGGAGGATGAAAATTTTAATTTTTTTTTGTGATATTTAGACTACTTTAAATTTTTTAAAGCTAGTCCAAGATAATTTATTTGGCCATTTTATAAGCAATTGCAATATTTGTCAAATAATTTTATTGAATAAAATCTTCAACATTTTTATTATTATTTTATTGCATTAAAAAAAAAAAAAATGTTCTATACACTGAAAATTATAATTTCTATTTATTGTGTTGTAATCAGTACACTTTGAAATTTAAAAAAAAAACTTTACCATGTTTTTGAATTTTTGAAACATGCGTTACACAGTCACTACTATTTTAGTAGGTTTAAAAACTAACTAATAATACTTAAGTTTAAACATTGTATATGATTGAAATCGATGGGGAATTAATTATTTAAATTTTAGCCAATTGTAAATCGTTTTTTTTTCGTCCAAGAATAGAAAATGAATTTTTTTTTTTTTGCTTTTTATATAGCTATCTACGACACAATCACCTTTATTTTACAGTAATTTGTTAGTTTATAGGGGAACCGGTTTTAAAAAATTTTCTAAAGTTTTTTTTTGTTTTAAAAACCTATTATTTATGAACTTAGGACTCAATTTTGACTATTAACCGACCAACCCAACCTATTTCTAACATATCTAAATTTAAAATTTTCCTCCTTAAAATGTTTAATAAGCTTAATTTTAATTTAATATAAGTATACCAAATATCGGAACATTTTAATAATTAATTGAGCGATCAAATTAAAATATGTAAAATCAATTATATTATATATTCAAACTACATGAAACATAATAATAATATATAGGTTAAAAAAAAATTTGACATGCCTTAAAAAACACATTGAAAAGTATATACACGCCAAGAAATAAAATAGAACTAAAACTTTGACTAAAAATATTCTATGACATAATATTTATCCAAACTTTTATTTAAGGTGACACCTTGCAAAGCATAAAACGTTTTTAAACATGTTTTGCATGAGACAACTCCCATGCTATTTCCTAACAATTTCAATTATATACAATGTTTAAACTTAACTAAGTACCAACTACATATATATTACTAGGTATTATTAGTTAGTTTTTAAAACTAATAAAACTTTAGTGACTGTGTAACACGTGTGTCACAAATACCAAAGTTTTTAAAAATTTTAGCTAGTCCATTTAAGATGCCCAGATAATTTAAATTAATGATCTAATTACTTCTTGTTCCCCCGCGCTAGTGAGTGTCTAGTTACCCTCTTTTCTTTATTCCATTTTTGAGTACAGACTAATTTTGAAATTACGTTTTCTTTATACCCATTAAATCTAGCTATTTCTCTTATAACGTTCAGTTCTTTATCAAAATATATTTTATTCATCCGGAATATTAACTAATCTGTAAATCATACTATTAATAGCTCTCATGTTATGTTTCCAGCTGTGGTTCAATTGTTCGGATCACATTTGTTAAATTATTCCAAACATACCATCAACCAACACAAATTTTTATTAATTGACTTGAAAATTTAGTAATGTTTTGTTAACGAGGTTATAGTTTTTGGGGTCTATTTCCCCTTAATGCGAAAACTATTTTTACGCTACTATACATAGTATGTATAGTATTATATTATAATCTAATTTCAAAGTTGTATAGATTTGATACCCTTTAAAGAGGCTTAAACAAAATTTATAAATGTATATAATTCCACGCTATAATCATGAATATAATACTAACATTAAAAATAAATTGTTCTTTTTTAAGAAACTGCTTATTGTATAATATGTAATTGTATTACATATTTGAATATGTAATTTTAATTTTAATTGTTATCATTTTTTTTTAAGGAGTATTGCTACTACAGATCTCCAAAAGAATTACTCAAGGACATAGATATGCCTGAAAACAATTACTGGTCAAACATTTTATTTATTGCTACATTATATTTAATTATGAAAATTTTAACTTATGTAGTTCTTAAGTATCGTATAAGAATAAACAAATGAATTTATTAGTTAATACTTGATTACATTTCACACAAAGAAGATCAATATTTTCCCACATAATTTAATATTTTAAATTACCATTAAACTATTTTTAATGTCTTTTGTGTAATAATTTATATTATAACATCTTGAAATAAGCAAATGAAACGATATTTATAGATAAAAAAGTGTCTTTTAGGAACTAACCCACACCTTGAGTTATCATTTCTAATAAAAATGTTTTCTCTTTGGTAAGATATTTTTTCTTTAGCAGTATTCATAAAAAATGAAAATTGGAGAAATATGAAGATTTATTCATTACATTATTGGTTTAATTTATTTAAACCAACTAAATTTGTAAAAAATTAACGAATCAATAGTAATAGAAATTATAGATATCCTATTGTTTTATAGGCTCGTTTTTATATTAGTTAATCAATTTATTTATACAACGAAAAAATCATTAAAAATTGTTAAATAGTAGAAATAATAACAATTTTATCATAACAATAACTAAGTTCGTATTATATCGTCAAAATAAAGTTCACTTTCAAAATCTGATTTGTAGGTTAAAGTTATCAGACGTTCCAGATCATTTTCAATAGATAAAAAAAAAATGTATGCATTAATAATCATTTTCAAGTCGTTCTTAAACTAAAACTAATTTAAGAAGTTTTAAACTCCTTTGTATAAAAAGAAATAGTACAATTTAAAAAAAAAAGTATATCAGATGAAAGAGGCATATTTAAAATATTTATAGTAAAAATTGCATTGATCCATACATTTTTCAAAAAATTATAGCAATTTTATGTTGAAAATGTAAAATTAAAAATTTTTGATTTTATTTTTAACTATATTGTATTTCCATATAGAAGTTGTCAGATAATTTTTTTTAACATATAGTAAAAAAGATACGTGTGTGTTTTTTCCAATAAATTTCAAAATTTAGTCCTTTTGTTTTAATTAATAAATTTAAAAAAGGAAATTTTCCTTTTACCGTCTGTTAGTACGTGAATTTAATTGATGGAAATTAAATGTTGTGTGAAGACTTCCGTATTGATAAATCACACCACTATAACCATAAATTAATTCTTCTTTTCCTGGCCTTTATCCTAACTATTTAGAGTCGGCCACACTTATCCTAAACATCCACTTAACACGATCTACCACATTTTATTACGTTATACAAAAAAAAAACTCGCGTTAATGTAAAATTAATATTACCTCAGCTTCGCATCTAAGCTAAACTTTGGATATGTCGTGGAAGGGATCATTATAAATTGGAATATTATAGTAATCAAAATCACTGTCATAAATCACTTTGTTACAATTGTGCTTAAAGGAAATTCGATTATTCCAACCTTCGTTAGTTGATTCAAATTTTAGTACAAATTGAAATTGTAATTTATCATAAGATATGGTCAACTAGAACATACTTTTATGTTGTTTTTAGTTAGATATAAAAGTTTGTGAAAGTAATCATATTGCAGTAGCATGTTATTTAACTACAGTGTTTTTTTCTTCAATTTTATTAGTGGAACTATGGGATAATATTATACAGTTTGTTCAGTAAGTAAAGAAACATATCAATTGTTATAAACAATGAGAACAATAGAAACCCTTTTCCTTACTTACTAAACACCTATTTAGATTTTTTATAAAATGTACTATAAATCATTAAATTATATTTTAATGATAGATAAAATGGTTTTATATTTATGAATAAAATCATAAAAACCTTTATTTTTTTAATTTAAATTTGGATCCTTCTTCTTTGACTATTTAATACCCTTGAGATACCATAATCATCCTAATCAAATTTCATTTAAAATATATAAAATTTAAATTTTCTTTTAAAATATTATAAAAAAATAATTAAATAAATCTTTATATTATTCATTTCGTTTTACTGGCTTTTTACTAACTACTTGGTGTCGGTCACCCTTATCCTAAACTTCCACTTGACACGATCTCTCACATCATCTACGTACACATTAGCCGTTCTCATATCGCATTCAATAAAATCCCTCCATCTCTTTTTTTCGTCGTCTTTACCTCTTCTTTTTTCAACATTCAACTATAACTGTTCTTACAGCTTCCGATTCTTCTCTCACCATAACATGACCAAACCATCTAAGTCTATTTTTTCTACACCTATATTCCCTCTTATATGCTCGTTTCTTATCCCATCTTCTCTATCACTCCACTCTTCCATCTAATCATTCTCATCTCTGCTACACTATTTCTTTGCTCTATTCTCTTTTCAAGCGCCCAACACTCTAAGTTATACATCATATCTGGTCTTACTAGTCTTATAGAACTTATCTTTTAGCCTTATTGGAATTCTCCTATTGCATATCACAACAAGCGTTTTTTTCAACTTTAACATAACCTGTATCTTACTTTGTTTTACTCCTACTTATTCTGAATCTTTTTCCTTTAAGAGCTGAAACATTCTCAAAAGTTAAATTGAAAATGTTTACTTTTCATGCAAAAGTTGCTATATTGAATCCTTTATGGGTAAGTAGAGGGTTATATTTCAAAAAATATACCAAATGAAAGGGAAATTTTTAAGATATTTGTATAAAAAACTTTTGGTTTTATTCATCCATTTTTTTTTTAAATCGCCCATTAATGTGGTCTGAGGGTAGTGTCTTCAAGTAGATACACTTTGTACTGTGTTGACAGCGATTTGGCGAACAACATATGAAACGTTTTCAACTCATTTAACGGAATAGTGATAAGAATAGAGTTAGCTGATATTATCTTCTAAGACCGTGGTTACGATACGAGAATCAAAATTCACAAATTGGCTGGCGGTCGTCTCTCTCACTCTTATGGAAATAAACGATCCTAACTCTCATAATCCGACTTCACGACCACGCCTACCACTCTTTTGGGTAAATGTTTTGTCTCATTACAGTTAGAGATAATACATTTTATTATCTATATCTGTGCCGTAATGAGACAAGAAAAAATGTAATAGTTTTATGATAAAGTTTTAATTTATTTATTTAAGAAATTTATGTTTAAATAAATCTTGTACTTAAATAGTTATTGTAAAGTAATATTTTTCTTCACCCTTAATTGTTATTTCGAAAATAAGTGACGCAGACGTGTTAACATTTATTATTCTGTGCGATGTGGTAATAATATTTACTTGACGTCATCGTCTTAAATATTTTTTTTTATAGTTTTGTATAGTTTAGAAGTGTAGAACATGTTTAATTGAAATTCAAGGCTTCTATATACTTTAATATTTTGTACTTAAAATTATATTTATCTTATTTTTTAATCTAAAAAATTAAATCTAAGTGTTTCTTTTGCACTTATATTTTAAATTAATTTATAGTTTTAAAATTTTTTCATTATTCTGTTATTTTATTTTATTTATTTGAAGACTACAACAATGTTACATTACTCATAACATTTAACTTTCATTTTTTATTTTTTATGTGAATATACTTTAAAATTTACCCTAGTGATATAATCATTGTGAGGCTATTATAGAATAACAATGGAAGATAAACTGATAGCAAATTTTAGCAATGCTGTAGATATTGAATTTGTTGATGTGTCTTATTCAGTGAATATTTGGACACCAGGCAGGTTATTGTGTCCTGGTATGTTAAATTTACTGATTTTAGTAGATGAAAAATTTTTAATTAATATAAATATTTTTAGAACAAAAAAAAATTTTAAAAAATGTAAGTGGTAAATTTTTTAAGAATCAATCATGTGCTATTATTGGTTGTTCAGGATCTGGAAAATCATCCCTGTTGAATTTTGTCTCTGGTTATAAGTAAAATTATAAAATAAAATTTTAATTTACTTATAATATATAGTTCTTATGAATGTTTTAGAACCATTGGTTATCAAGGTATTATTAATATTAATGGAAAAAAACGAAAACGTGAAGCTTTTTTGAAAGAATCATGTTATATCATGCAAGATGACCATTTGCAACCTTACCTAACAGTTCTAGAATCAATGGAAATATCTTCTAAACTCAAACATTGTGTTACAAAACTTGACGTTTATCATCAAGTTCTAGTAAATCAAATATTTTTTTTACTTAATGAAAATTAAAACCCTTATACTATATTTAGATTTTGAATTATAAAATTTAGGACATACATAATAATTGATATGGTTAATTTTCTAATAAGGCAATCCCAAATTTTGAATTGAAGATAAAATAACTCTAAAAAATTTTTTACTTAAAACGTGAAAATTTTAACATGTCATATTCAATACAGTTTATTAAAAATGAATTTTACTAAAATTAAACTTTTTGTGATATTCCATTAAAAAGTTTTATTTTCTTTTAAATTTTTTTTAAAAGTGATACTATTAATGTGTTGATGCTTTTGTTGATTGTTGTATTGTTTAAAATGTTTACTAATGTATCCACGTTTTCAGTTATTAGCTGACATTTCAGACTTGTTACAGAGTCTAGCTTCAGTGGTTGTAACTATACTGTCCTGTATTGAAAAATTGCTAAAATTAATACCATTTAATCTTTTTAAATCTTAAAATAATTTAATGTATAAAATATATGATATTGGCCAAAAATGGGGATAAGATTTTCTGTATATAATATTTTTTTATATATATTTGTAGTAAATTTACAGATGTTAATATTTCAATTTATTTGATGAATACCATATGTTAATAATTTTTAGATTCAAAGAATACTAGAAAATTTGAATTTAAATAAAAAACAGCATTCTCTGACTAAAAACCTTTCTGGCGGAGAATGTAGACGTTTGTCTATTGCAGTTGAACTTATTCGCAACCCAAAAGTGATGTTCTTTGATGAGCCAACTACGTAAGAAAATTTTAATTGCTAAATGTATTTTTACTAACAAATATTTTTAGAGGTTTAGACATGGTTTCTGCTAATAGAATAGTTTCTATGTTGAGAGATTTAGCAAAATGTGGTAAAACAATTATAAGTACTATTCATCAAGCAACTAGTTCACATATAAATCTCTTTGATTTATTGTATGTTCTCTCACCATCTGGGCAGTGTATCTATTATGGACATTCATCAAAATTGATAGACTACCTATCTTCAGTTGGGCTCCAATGCCCATTGCATCATAACCCAGCAGATTATAGTAATTAGAAAACAAAAATTTAATATTTTATTCTAAAATTTTATTTCAGTTCTAGAAATAAGTTCAGGTGAATATGGTAATTTCAATGATACGCTTATTCAAAAAATTAATAATGGTAAATCAATTAATTGGTGTAAAAATATCCATCATCAAACTGGTAATAAAAAATTACATATTTTAGTTTTGATGCTATTACTCTTTTAGAAAATTGTCTTAATAATAAAAAAAAATTCTCATTTATAAAACTAAATTATTAAAATCCTTGAAATATTCTATTAAATGTAGAAAACAAGTATTTTTGATGTTTTGTTCGTTCAGAATTGTATTTCAGTTATTATCTCCAATTTTACTAAATTATGACTTAATTTTTATCAACTTAAATCATTTTTTTAGTTGACTCTTTAGAAGAAAATATTAACAAAGATAGAAATCATCAAAAAAACAACTCAAAATTTTGTAATGACCTTCAAGTACTTTTACATAGGACCATGATTATATCATCACGAAATAGTGTAGGTTTAATTTTGTTTCATTTAAATATTATGCAGAAAAATTCTTTAAACTTTAAATGTAACTTACTTACTCCTTCATAATTATTTCTTTTTAATTTCAGGAATTCATTAATATTAGAGTATTTGCTCCTTTCATACTTAGTTTCTTATTTGGTTTAGTATACTTCAAAATTGGAAACAACGCTTCATATACTAGAGATAATGTTCAATTATTATACTTTTGCTCAACTTATATAATATTCTTATCTGCATATTCAATGTCAATTAAATGTAAGAATTACATTACAGTTATTTATTTATTTATTTTTCAATATTAAATTTAATTATTATCATAATTTTTTTGTTTTTTAGTTCCATTAGAATTTCTGTTGATGCGTATTGAATATTTTAATCAGTGGTATTCTGTTCATTCATATTTCATTTCTTTAACATTGATGGATTTACCTATTCAAGTAAGTAGTCTTTATAATTTTGATTTATAAGTTCACTTTGTATTATATTAACTTTGATATTTTAATGAAAAGATAAGCCATGTTGTTTTCCAAAACAGATATCAATTCTTTCAAAATTTAAAATTTTCAATAGTTACTGAGTAAACGAGTGTCTTATCCTTAATGAATCACCCTGTATATTTTTCTTTATTTATTAGCTAATAATAACTTTTTAAAATCATCCCTTATAACTTTTAAGGGCGTCAACTATATTTTTTTAATGACAACATACATATTTAACTAGCTTATAATATAGAAAATAACAACTTTTGGACTAGTACTTCGGAAGTTAATAAAAATTTAAAGTCATGACAGAAAGTATAGTTTGGAGTTGCTATTTATATTATCATGAGGATAATGATATCTTTTTAAATACCAATCAGATAAGATTTTTTACTGTGTCAAGTATATTAAACTACAGTAAAACTTCTGTACTTTTTACAAATTCTAAAATCGGAGTTGTCTTCATTCAATTTAATGATGAAAATAATCATTTAATTCCTTATAAATCTAATGTATAACATAATATTCTAATGTATGCTAATTTCAGATTAAACCATGACTGTATTGAAGTTAGTACCATTTTCAATAACACATCGATCTGATTAATTCTATATTAATATTATAATAATACTATAATAGTCTAATATTATTCAAATCTATTTAGGGGGTCTTAAATTATGATAAAACAGTCATGAGTGGCATATAGTGGTATAGCGTCATATATTGGTGTTTTTATTATAATAATTTTCTGTCTGTACTATTTCTTCTGCCTAGGTATAAAAATGAGAATAATTTCTGAAATACTATTTTAAAATTTGTTATCGCCCAGTGATTTTTTTAATTAGATTATTTTCTGTGTTGTAAGCTAGTTCAATATGTATTTTGCAATCAATATCAACAAAGTTGACACCCATTTATATTAGAAATTATTTAAAAAGTAATTATTAGCTGATAAATTAAGATATATATGTAACTAAAAAAAGCACCTTTTGTTTTTAATATTGTATTTATTTTCAGTGTAATCGAGTGGGTTTAATAATAAAATGATAATTCTGTATATATATAAAACTTTTTTTATTAATGAATGAATAAAAATTATTTTTATAAACACCTTAGATATTTTCCTTTTATTTAGTGTAAATTTTTTTAAATTTGACACCTAAGGTTGAAAAAACAATTGAAAAAAAATTTCCCCGTTCCCTGTATATGGGCAATATTCTCGCAAAAAATAAAATTTTTAAATTCCGTAAATTTTGACATTTATCAAGTTTACTGGAGATTCAAAATAATAACTTTTGCATGGAAAGTAAACATTTTCAATTTAACTTTAGAAGATGTTCTGGAAATCCTGACACTTTTATATATATATATCTTAATTTAACTACCATAAGCTGGTTTTAATGTAAACTAATGATTATTTTCAAAAGCTTCAAAATAATTTATTCTTGTTTTAATAAAAAAATTTTTTACGAAAGTGTTAACATTTTCATGGATTATTATATTATTTAAAATTTTTACAGATGTTTTGTGCTTACATTTTGAACTCGTTACAGAGTACATCTTCGAAATAATAGTTAAAGGTTCGTGGTTTGTACTATACTATCAGCTTGGATTGTTTACAGTTTGTTTTTATATCGTCTAATAACTAGTGATGGGAAATATCGAATAGTAACTATCAAACTATTCGATAGTTGTTCGCTATTCGAACTATACGATAGTCATTCAAAAACTATTCGAATAGTAAAAATATTCGATAGTTTTTAAAACTAATCGATTGTTTATGCTAAAAATAAACTATTCGGTTGAATAACAACAGTTTATTTTCTAATGATTTTTGTTGTTATTTATAGCATTCTTGGTATTTAATTTAAAAGGAAGAACTAAATGCTTAGAATGCTGTGAACAATAACAAAATCATTCCAAAACAACAAACTAACAGTTTTTATCAACAACAACACGTTTAAAAAAAAGATAATCAATATCGACATATATAAAAATAAACTGTAAACAATCCAAGCCGACAGTATAGTTTAAACCCCGAACTTGTAACTATCGTTCTGAAGATAGACTTTGCAACAAATTAATACAAAACTGAAGAGGTGGATACGTCTGAGAATTATTATTTTAAACAATATTTTATGTTCTTTGATATCAATTATTTCGTGTTCTTTATTTATCGTATTTTGATTACGGATTTAATAAAAATGTTTGTTATAATGTTATTCTTAACATCATCATACCCTGGTTAAAGTGGCTATCAAAATAATCTAATGATTCCTTATAAAAATTAAATATTGTTTTTTATAATACTGGCTTTAAACACTATCTGATAATTTATACTTGTTCCAACCGTGTTGCGTTCCATTATGCCGTGACCATCTGTGCAAAATTTTTAAATATCAATTTACTGAAAAGAAATCCATAAATTATACATGTTGGTCAATTTTAGCTTCGATGCGAAGCAAAAAAGGTATTAATTTTACCATGATGTGTATATTTTTGAATTTTTTTTTTGTTTCTGTCACTACTTTTTCTCCGCTCTCACTGGACTGATTTTTCTCAATGATACATTAAAAAATCACAAATCGTATCTAGTTGAAGACATTACCCTCAAAAATCAAAAAAATGTTCCCTCGATCCCCGTAGTTGGTGAAAATCCCCCCAAAAATTACAATTTTTAAAATTGATAAATTTTGACATTTTTTTTCTAAAAATTTACTTAAAAAAATAAAAACTTGCTGAAAAATGAATGAATTAAAATAATTTTTTTTTATATTGAAATATTAGATATTTTCCTTTTATTTGATAATTCAACCTTTCATCTACCCACAGGAGGTGATTCAAAATAGAAACTATTTTACAAATTTAATTTATTCAACTTAACTTTTGAAAATTTTGCGGAAATACTACGAGCTTCAAACATATGTTAAAATAAAGCTAATATTATGTACTATAATTTAAAAAAAAAAAAAATTGTCCCGGCAATTTATCTTCTATGTGCAAATGGTTGCCGTAGTTAAAAAACATGTTATTTTTGTGTTAAAAATCTTGGTATTGTATTTTAATTTATTTTAAAATAACTTATAAGAAAATACACTGATTTTCATGAATATTATATAAAACTAATTGACATAGAATATAATGTTAAATTTATTTCAATTTTTTTTTCTTTAAAGTCGAAAAAATTAATTTAACATTTGAATCAGCTTTAATTGTCAATTTTATCAAAAAAACGAATGCGACGAACGTTTGCCAATTCCGTAAAAATCATTGCCCGTAGCAAAGACACTACCCTCAAAAATTAAAAAAATTTCCCTCGTTCCCCGTAAATGGGGAAAATCTCCAAAAAATGTTAAAAATCACTAATTTTTTCAATTTTTTTTTACAAAAAGCTGTCAACATTTTTAAAAATTACCAAATCAATATAATTTTTTTTAATAGATTCATGAGGTATTTACCTATCATTTTGTATATTTTTTTTTATAAATTTGACCCTTTACCTGCCCATAAGGGGGATTAAAAATGACAACTTTTTCACAAAATTAACTTTTGAAAGTGTTTCAGAAATATTGACACTTTTATAAATATTTTAAATTAAAGCTAATGTAATATACTTTATTATGTAAAAAAAAAAATTTTGGACTTCACGGTGAAAATAGCTACCTATGCTATTTTTGTGTTAAAATTCTCGATTTTGTATTTTACATTTTTAACTTTAAAATGCTAAACTTATAGAAAAGTGTATGGATCAATACAATATTTTTATGAGAAATAATATTAACATCCTTCATTCATTCTAGATACTTTTTTTTTTTAAATAACACCATTCCCTTTATATATTTATATGATATAAATATATATAAATATTTATTTATTTATGTATTACACTTATAAATCATAAAAATTGTAATCAGGATATAAATAAGAAAATAGGAGATCATGTAGCTTTTGGAATAATCCATCAAATTTTTAAAATTAAACACTATCTACAGATTTGCATCAGCGTTTTTTATGATAGTGATTTTAATCACTGTCAGATATCATTATACATACCCAACTATGCCTCATCTCTACTGTGCTGGGTTTTTTTATACATTTTTTTTCGATTATTGCGATATTTTAAATAATAATCGATATCGTGGGAAAAATGAAAAAAGTCTATATAGTTGACAAATCTTAGCATTTACATTTATTTCGTGAGTCACAAAATATAGCAAATTCAATAACTACTAATTAATATTTTACATTAATTTTTTATTTATAATTTTTGTACTTTTTGTAGACTATACAAATTACTCAACTTACCATATTTTTTAATTAATAAAAATTACGAAAAATATAATTAAATATCTCTTAATGTTTAGTAGTTATTATATTTAATATTTTAAAGTTTATACAAATTTAAATTAATACTAATGATATCTTATAAAATAGATAGTATTACTACTCGAATTTATAGTTCAATTACAGGCACTTATATCTACTTATTCAAGTGTGGATATTTTTCATTGAAGTTACATACTTAAAACTAATATTTAGCGTGAAAAGACTTCTTTTTTTCTTTTCTCGGTTTATTATTATGTTCGATATCGTAAACATAAAAAATTTCGAATTTCCATTGACTATACAATGCTACTGATAATTTCTTTACTGAACATTAATAAGATATTTTTTTGTTAAAATCTACTCTACAAAATGGCTATCTTAAAATTTTTTTACAGTTTTTAATAAGTTAAAAAACTACTGTATGTTATTTGTATAGTCCACAAGTATGAAAATTATTTAAATAAGAATTTTATTGTGTTTTTAATATGAAAGACTAGATTAAATAGTTAAACAGAAAATAAATCATTACTGAGAATCAATATTATTGTTGATAATGTGTATGCCGGTGATTACATTCGTGAGTAGTAGACAATCTTTACTACTTAGTTATATTTATAATAATATTTATCAATTCGGAACAAACGTAAAATTTTAATTGGTTCAAAAATTATTGAATTTGTCATATTTTCGTGACTCACTCACAATTGTCAATAGATAAATTTTAAAATAAGTTATTTAGATACTTTATCAAAATTGATAATTCATATATAATATCGTTTTCGATGACAAATACTCATGAACAACATACATCTAAGCGGAACATTTTTCCCGAGGGCTGAATCATAGACAAATATTCTACATGAACTGGATAGAAGTCGGATTAAAAGAAATAGCATATTTTTTCCTTAAGAGTGAAAGAGACTACCATAGATATATAAAATATATATATATATATTTATTATATTATAATAAACTAGATTTTTAAATGGTAAATCGTGTGAAACCTAATAACTACAATCTTTTTGTCATATATTAAATACGCTTAGTTAGGCAATTAGATTATTTGCAAGCAATTTTTTGTTAATTTTTACCTAGAATGCACTATGTATCCTTTCGAAGAATATTTTATAATAACTATCTTGCTTGTTGATATTTAGCCAATAGTCGCGATTTTCGATGTACAGCTAATATTTCCTAACGCAAATTAAGATAATGACCAGTTTTTATTAAAAGGTAGTTGTTTATTATTTAATATAAATAAAACATTTTGTTTTACTTACAAACTTGATGAATCATAATGTTTTTTCTATTTTATGAATATTGAGTTGTATTTCACTAATATTCGTTTTTTTTCTCTTAGTGTTGAGAATTTTAAAATGTTATATATTTGTTGAAAAAAAAATTACTTACGTTGATGGTCTCTTTCAAATTCTTCTTATACTTGGGTTTTTTATTGGACTTTCTAAAAATCATAACAAAAGAAAGTTTATTACCTCTATAGTATATTCGATTGAATAAGTTATAACAGTTAGAAAAACATTTTTTAAAAGGCAATTTTACGGTAACGCAACTTTGAGATATTTTTTTAATTTCTAACAATGAGAATTTTTTTTAATTTTCGTTTCTTATAGAATCAATTATTATACAGCTATCAGCTATAATAACTATTAGTAATTTAATTTATAAATACCAGAGTTTATACTCATTGCTTCCATTGATCATTTTTTTGGAAAACTATGTAATATGATATTTGGATTATCTTGTTTATGTTTATTGCAATTAATATCAGTGAATGGTATTTTAGGGCTCTTGAATTAAAAATATGTAATTACTGTCTTTAAATAACTTTTTATTATTTGACATTAAATAAAGAAAAAAGTTTTTGATGTTTGATTTTAGTTATTATCTACTGGACTATTTTGCACTGTTTTATATGTGATGAGTGGACAACCATTCGAATTTTTTAGATTCTCAATGTTTTTATTGATGTTTATATTAATTGGTCTGATATCACAAGCAACAGGAATGTTAGTTGCTATAATGTTTAAGAATTTCGTAGTAAGTATATTTTTACTTCCAACAATTGATATTTAAAATAAATTATATGTGTACATAATTATTTAGGTAAATTCTATTGTCATATCCTTAATTGTATTACCAGTATCAGTCTTTTCTGGTATCTTACTACGTATCCGAGATACTCCTAAAATATTTAGTTGGGTGTATGATGTAAATATTTTAAAGCATTCCATTCAAGGTATTTTACACTCTGTGTATGGCTACAATAGAGAACATATGAAATGCTCAGAGGTAAATTTTATTTTTTAATTAATAACAACCCGTAAAGTCATTCCTCCCCTATAGAACTTTGAATAATACACACTAGGGAAACAAATTAAAATAAAAAATCCTATAGAATGTATTAAAGTACTTTGTGTTATCTCAATATATACTGTATGAAAATGGAAATATTTAATGAAAGTATAATTTATGATATGGAGTATTATAAATAGGGCTAGGAATTTATGTATGCATATTTTTTCTTATTACAAAATTTGATTCATACATCACGAAATTCTAATTTTGTGGTGCTTTTTTTAAATTTTTAATGATTTTTAAGAATACATTTTTTTGTACTTTTGGGTCATTTAATTATTAAACAAAATGTAATTAATAAATTTATGCATTTTCTAGCACTTCTAATAATTTAAAAAATATATTTAAAAATGTATAAACAGAGTAATTAATTTTTAATGAACCATTTTAACTACGTCCCGGACTATCAGTAGTTAAGAAACCTCCTCCTTAAAAAGCGATAAAAAAATGTATATGTGTAAGATAGTATATTGTTTTACAGCTAAAAATTATTTATAGCTAAATTTTAAATTTATTTTTAAGAGTATATTTGGGTTTTCAAAGACAATTTTTAAATGCTTAATTTATGATTTCAATGTTTTTATTATAGGATTTTTAGTGCATCATTTTCCTAGCCTTAATTATAAGAAATTTCATTAAGATGTTTTGATTTAAATGTATTTATTTTTTTTATATTGGATTTCTCAACTGTCTATGAATTGATTCCATATAGATTATTCGAGTAGAAAAAGGTTTTAATTGTTTATATTAATGAGTTCTGAGGTATTTCAAGTGATAATTCATTATTATATTTTTAGTGTGTATGTTGATAGCCCATTTTAGCAACAATTCAGATAGAATTAGAGTTAAAACTAATTATTAAAATGTATTTTTCAGATTTATTGTCTATATCAATCACCATTATTCGTCCTTAAAACATATGACATGAGTGAAAATACATTTTGGTTTAGTACAATGTATATCACTGGGCTTATTTTGTTTCTAAAGACTTGTACTTATATAGTATTGAAATTAAAACTATCTATTAATTAGACAATTTAATTATTAGACATATAAATGTGTATTTGTAAATATACAGGGTGATTTTTTTATCATAACCCACTCAATTACTTGCAGAATAATAATAATTTAAACATTTATTTTTTTTATTATCTTTAGTTACACATTATTCTTGAATTTTTAACTATGTAATACTTTTTAAGTTCATCCCTTATGCCTTGGAGGGGGGTAAACTTTGTTTTTTTAAATGGTAACACATATTTTTAATTTAATAAAATGTTTGAGTTTTTAATTTAATAGTAAATGGCATTTGAATTTTTAATATAACTTTATTAGCTTATTAGATATAAACATTTAAAGTTTCAAAATTTTGAGTTAATATACATGTATAATACACATGGGATTGTAAATACAGGTAGCTAATTGGATTTTTATGACATTGCTGTCTCAGTCACGGATTGTTTATTATCAATTATGATTATCAATAGATATACTTTCTGTATTGTCAGTTAGTGTATTTATAAACTCATAACAATGTGCCTTACTACAATTGATAATAACAATGCTGTGTACCTGCTAATATCGATGTTATAAAAAACCAATTAGCTACCTATATTTGTAATCCCTTGTGTATTATACCTGTATATTAATTCAAAAATTTGAAACTTTAAATGATTATATCTAATAAACGAATTAAGTTATATTAAAAATTCAAATGCCATTGACTATTAAATTAAAAACTCAAACATTTTATTAAATTAAAAATATGTGTTACCATTTAAAAAAACAAAGTTGACCCCCTTCCAAGGCATAAGGGATGAACTTAAAAAGTATTACATAGTTAAAAATTCAAGAATAATGTGTAACTAAAGATAATGAAAAAAAAAATGTTTAAATTATTATTATTCTGCAAGTAATTGAGTGGGTTATGATAAAAAAATCACCCTGTATGTAAAAAAAAATGCTAAATCATTTTTAAACAAACTATTATAGTTCTAATAATTTGGTTATTTATGAACTAACAGTATTTTAATCGTGTTATTGAGTATTCATTTTATTTACTTATTTCATATATTAAGATAAAAAAAAAATAATTCATATATGTAAAAATTTAAATCATCACTTCGTTATTTAGAAAATATGCTTTAAATTTAGTCATAGCTAGAATAATGGTTCAAAAGTTACTATTGGTTAATAATATCCTTAATTGGATCATTTTCTAACTTTTAATGTATTAAATATTTATGTTACTGTTTAAAAAAACTATTTAGGAACCCTAGGATGACTGTAAGTTACATTGGTTGATTTTTTTTTTTTATAATATTTACAAATGGCCACCCCCTAGAATTGTTCGAGTACAGGAAAAAAATAATTGTGAAAAATCGGTGACAATAAGTCAACTCTAAGGCGTGACCCATATACATATATGTAGGTTAAAAATGATACTCTAAGGGTATTTTTTTTTTATCTCAAAAACAATAACTTTTACGAAAGTTTATAAAGACTTATGTAGATATAATATATTTTTATAAAAAAGATGTCTATAAATATTTTATGTCAAAACCACATACATATTTCGATTTTTTAAATTATTTTGGAGGAAACAAACAATAGTATTTTTGTGTAGCATATAATAGAAAATTTTGTTAACGCTTTACTACTACAAGAAAACATTTTATTTTTAGCTTCGATGCGAAGCTGAAAAGGTATTATTTTGACTCTAAAATCGCTTGAAATATGTGTAAAATTTAAAATATGTATTTTTTGAAGAAATAAAGTTTATAATATCTATAATGAGTTTTTACCATGGAGACTGCAATATTATAAAATGCTTATTTTCTTTAAATAATAATTATTTCTCATCATTTGAAGTAATCCTGTCAGCTTCATTCTTCTTTCTGAAAAAATGCATAATGTATTTCTTCATTTCTAGCCGTTTCCAATATAGTTCCTTCATCATCTGTCTCTTTAAGCTTTGCCATACAATTTGTGCAATCATCTTCGGAAAAAATGTGTATGGAGTGCAAAGACTACGAGAATCTTCTTGCAACTCCATACATTCCTCAAAAATCATACTGTGTGCACTGCCTTCATCTTTTTCTTGTTCTTTGGTCAACATGTCTTCTACATACGCTACTTCAAGCTCTGCTATATAATTACTTGTGCAATCGATTTCATCGTTTGGAGTGCAATGACTACGCATATCTTCTTGCGACTCCACACATCCCTCAGGATCATGCTGACGTCACTGCCTTCATAACTCTCCTTCAGTCATCAACATACTAATACCACGCTATGAATTTCAGTATTTTTACTCTGAATTTGGCACATTGCATCTAATAATTACTATCTGTATATACATCATAAGCCATTATTGTTTAAACAAGAATTAGTCCAAAATAATTTTTTTTTCCTGAATTTATATAATATTATACTAAATAATATATTGAATTTAAAACATTATTAAGGAAGTTGTACTAGTGGCTGACGAGGAGTCGCCCTTTAATCTGTTACATTTGAGCTGGACCGTGCTGACGGGTCTAAAACCTACTTCATTAGTAATTGACAATGTAATTAGTAACATTCACTAACTAAAGGTATTGAAGCTGACCAGTGTACCCAAAGGGAAGACATAAAAAGAGCCAAAATGATGAACTTGATGTTTAAAGTACTAATTATTTTTTATACCTTTTAGCATCGATGCGAACCTGAAAAAGAATTAATTTTACTATTACTATTACTATAACTAGTATGTGTTTTCTTATTTATTTATTCTTTCTTACCAAACCGATTTCTTTCAATGATACGTCAAAATATCACAAAAATCGATCTAGTCAAAGACAGTACCCTCAAAAATTGAAAAAAATTACCTCGTTCCCCGTAAATGGGGGAAATCTCCAAAAAATTTTAAAAATCACTAATTTTCGACATTTTTTCAATTTTTTTTTACAAAAAGCTGTCATAATATTTTTAAAAATTACCAAATCAATATAATTTTTTTTTATAGATTCATGAGGTATTTACCTATAATTTTGTATATTTTTTTTTATAAATTTGACCCTTTACCTGCCCATAAGGAGGATTCAAAATGACAACTTTTTCACAAAATTAACCTTTAAAAGTGTTTCAGAAATATTGACACTTTGATATATATTTTAAATTAAAGCTAATGTAATATACTTTATTATGTAAAAAAAAAAATTTTGGACTTCACGGTGAAAATAGCTACCTATACTATTTTTGTGCTAAAATTCTCGATTTTATATTTTACATTTTTAACTTTAAAATGCTATAATATATAGAAAAGTGTATGGATCAATACAATTTTTTTTATGAGAAATACTATTTGTATTTAATAATCAAACATAAATATTTGTTATATTAGAAGGATTTTGTTATTATTTAGGCCACATGTGAAACTCTAATTGCAGATTTGAAATGGGTTTAAAAAAGTATATTTTAGTCTCTGATGAAAATTCCTTGAACACCAGTAAATTTATTTATAAAGAACAAACAATTTTTTTTTTTAATATTATATGAAGATCTTTAACTTTTTGATAAACATATTTTCTGATTATAATTAAATACGGATCAGTTGAACTTAATATTTTTTTACATTATTCATTCTCATAGTTGTATAAAGTATTGTAAAAAGTTATTAGAGCAATAAAAATTTTATATTATATATAAAAGAATTACGTGCGTAGAATTCCTCTATATAGTTATTAAAGGAAAATTACATCGAGTAAATTTTAAGAACTGTCAGATTTGATAGTTAATATTTTGGATTTAAAAAAATAATATGTTTATATCCTTCAAATATTAGACAATAACTGAAAGTTATTAAAATAAAATAAACAGCTGCTGTCTAAAAAGCATTAAATACATTATGTAGGTATATAACTTGATCATGCATATATAATGAACAATTTTTTACTCTGTTTAAATTAAATATATTGCGTGGATGAAATATATGTAAGTCCAGCTATTAGTTTAATGTTTTTCCTCTTTATTATTTATTTTGTAAATATTATCCTTTAATACGCCTGACAAAACCTTGGCAAAGATAATTTATTATTGAGCTGAATTAGCACAAGTATTTTTATATCATAATTTACTGGATTTTTTCTTCATATTTTTGGTCGATAAAATTGAAAATTCATATTTGATATAAAATAATTTGTTTAAGAATTAGTTGCAGTTTGTGTCGAAATCACTTGACACGAAAAATATAACGTTGTTCAGTGTACAATTTATTATATTATTTTGTTTTTCTATTTTTGAAAAGAACAAATTTATTAAATAGAAAAAAATAAATTTTTAATCTTGAAGTTACTATAGTATTGAATTTTGATATTAGTATGTGAGCTATAATGTAGAAAATCTTATTGGTGATGGAGGTAATGTGCATAACAAGGAAAACCTTATCCATTAAACTCAATGGTCAATTTATAATATGATCTTTGTGATTTTATTAACTACATAGTATTACATAAGAGAATTGTAATTATTTGAAGTCAGTGAAAAAGTTTATACTTATTTTTTTATATAAATATATTTTACAAATAAAATGATTTTTATTAAATATATAAGAACAATAGTACGATTTTCAAAAATAATAATTCCCCCAAAAAAAAATATTATATTATTTTTCTTTGTATAATGTTCTTAAAAGTTAAAAGATCAGTGAAATTTTTTCACAAAATTATTTGTAAATTTTTTTTTTCTACTTAAGGTCTTACCTTCTCGTTACCAATGGTATATCCTGGGGAAATTAAGTGCAGTAGTTTTCCGTTGCCTTCTGCACTAGGAACATGGTGCTTTTTAGCCACCGTAGAAGCGCACGCATGGTCACCCATCCGTTCACTTACGGCGTTTTTTAGAGTGTTGTCAACAACTAGTGTGACTACCACGCAACACCATTTGTAAATTATATTAAAAAAAAAAAGTTGTCATTAAAATTCATATTGGATTGTATTTTTAAACACTGTATTTGGGACTGAAGTTTTCCGAAAAAAACTAAAAATAAATAACAGAAACATGTCCAATATGTAATCCCATTGCTTATTGGCCATTGCTCAAGAGAAAAAGATTTGGATCAATTGAGGAAGTAATCGCTGAAACTGAAGCTTATTTTGAGGACTACAAATCATTTTACAAGCATGGAATCGAAAAATTAAAAAACCATTGGAATGATTATATCTCACTTGGTCGTGATAATGTTGATGAATTTTGCGGAACAAATGTTGTTTTCTTAGTTATTTCCAGGACTTATTAAACGATGTGTTATATTTGAATTGTGTATTCTAGTAGTGTTATTCTATTGGTTTAAAAGAGAAATTTTTAAAAGTTTTAAAACATAATTCTTAAGAGTTATAATAGAAATAAAGTAAATGTATATTGATAGTCCCTTATAAACTTTACGTACAAAATGATAGTAAAACATCTAAGGTATCTTCTATATAAAAAATTTGTTTTGATTCGTCCATTTTCAAAAAATGATTGCAGTTTTAAATAAAAAATTTCAAAAAATGTAATTTTTGTTGGATTTTCCGTATGTACGGGGAATGAGGGAAATTTATTCAATTTTTGAAGGTAATGTCTTCAACTAGATAAGATTTGTGATATTTTAATGTATTATTCATTAAAATCGATTCAATGAGAACTATGAATAAATGAAAACAGAAACAAAAAAAACATGAAGCTAAAATTCATTCCAAAAGAGGTGACATATCAATGAGAAAATAAACCCATCATAATATTCATGTATAATAAATATTTCATAAGAGCTACCTTAAAACAGTATATATACTGTTTATATGAAAATTTAATACGCTTGATAAGTGCTGATTATTCTCATTGTGACATATTGAATAATGAGCCCTCGGGTTTTATAACTGAAATGGTAATAGAGCGTTCAGTAAGTAAGGAAAAATATGAATTGTTATAAACAATGAGAATAATAGAAACCGTTTCTTTACTTACTGAACACTCTATATATCGAGGAATGTTATAGATCATATAAGTCTAAATGCACTAATGACTATTTGCAGGTATTTTTATTAAAAATAAAAGTAAATACGGAAAAAAAGAGAAATCCATAATTTAACACTAGACGAAAAATATCTTGAGCACTGTCCCTGGGTTCAAAACGAGAAACCACGTTTACCACATCAATAGAAATTTAGTAAGAATTCATGTGATCAATATAAAGTAATTATTAATTAATAGTGAGATTATTATATTAACAATAAATAATAAAAAAACGGTAGCACAGTGGGGTCGAGGCACAGTGTAGACAAGGCATAGATGGAACAAGTATAGATGATATATGACAGTGATTAAAGTCACTATCATAAGAAACGCTTCGATCCAAATCTGTAGATACTATTTCATTTAGATAAATTCGTGGATTATTCCAAAAGCAACATCAACTCTTATTTCTTTGATTATATCCTAATTAGTAGTTCTTTGATTTTAAAATATAATATATGAATAAATACTAATTATAATTATTAAATTTAATATAAAATGTATATTCAATAATTTAATATTATAATTTAAACGGAGAAATTATAAAAATAATAAAGAAGTTGTATTTTGCTTTATTTTTACGTGTATAAAAATTTAAAGGGCTTGATATAATAAATTTCAATAAAAACTGTTTGTTACTATAAATAAATGCACTGAACTACAAGGAACTTTCATCAGTAACAAAAATATACCATTCTAAATCAACTTTTCGCGATGTTTTCAAATCTGCAATTAGACTTTTTCTATCACTTCTAAGTTTTAATATTATTAAAAATTAGTATTTACATAAAAAAAATTCGCATCGAAGCTAAAAAATTGGCTATTTAAGCTCACTCAAATTTAAAAATTACTTTTTCGACTTTAAAAAAGTAAAAAAAAATTAATAAGTTTAATTTCTTATGTCTTATGACCTTTATTTTATTTAACTTTGTTGAATATAATAAAATAAATATTAAAATTATTTTACATTAACTTTACAACTGTATTTTTTTTTATTACTAACATTTATCAAAAAATATTACAAAATTTATGACATTTTATAAATCATACAATTTGGTTTGTATACATTTTTTATTAATTTTAATTGGCTTATTCTATAGCAACAACTGAAAAATTTATATTCTTGTTAAAATTTAAAATTAACTCCATTTAATTAACATAATAAATATTTGACAGAGTTAATAGCATACTATCATCAAATTTGGATGGAATTTTGCGAAAATTCATTTGATTTAATTTATTTTATACCACTTTGAATTTTAATGATTCAGTTTATTTAGCAGATAGTACTAATAATATAACTTTTCAAGTATTAATTGATATGTTGTTTGACATGAATTAATTTCATTACACCTACTAAAAATGAAAATATCTAATTTTTAAAAGATTCTTTATAAAGAAAACCCTTGTGGTTTTAAAATAAATGTACAATCTACTTTCACTTTTGAAAATCAATTATTTTAATATTGAATAAAAACTTACTAAAGGTTTAAATAAATTAGGCTTATTCTCTACGAAAACATTCTAAAACATAATGTTTACGAGTTGAATGCAAAAACATGACAAAGCAATTAAACAACATGAAATTTACTTTTTGTAAAAGAAACAATATTTTTTAAGATTTATTAAAAGTTAAAATTTTTTTTTATTTTAATAATATTGCTCATTCGTTAACTTTCTAAAGCGAAACTTAGTGTAAAAAAACTATATAAGTAAAATATTTGAAAAATTCCCTTAAATTAATTAGAATTCATATTATCACGAAGAAAAATAAACAAATATTTTTTGCTAGGTGTTTATTATACTAAAATTAGATTTAATGAATTGAATATTTTCTAATTTGAAAAGCTTGTTTTATTCAAAGTTTAGATTAGTACTGCATAATTTAAAGCCTCGATCAAACTGCATGTTTGTTGTAAAATAAATAATTAATAAATCAAACAATTTTTTTTTACTTAGTTGTTATTTTAGAACACTTTTTTGGCTCCTTAAAAAAGTGATGTTGGCCAAAAAGAATACTTTTTTATTTTTTTGCTGGCCACTATATGACAAAATTTTTCATATAAAAGGAGTGGAACACTTTCAAAATGTAACCTTTTTTAAATTAAATATAAACGTGACAATTTTTCGTTATTCTAACTTCATACTAAGTGCTTAAATTTTTTTTAATTAAATACATCAAGAACATCTCTTGCTACCAGTATGCAGNAAATTAAATACCTCAAGAATATCGCTTGCTACCAGTATGCAGTCAAAGGATATGTGGAAAATTTACCATCTCGTATTTTGGTGTGGAATTTATTTCATTACAGAAAATGACTTCATCAGGACAATGGCAATGTATTGTGCTGTTGTCATAACACTGTTGAAAATTATTGATTACTGTACACTTTTTGAGAAAACGGAAACAAAAGTCATACAAATTAATGAACTGAACGCTGAAGATGATAAACTACCATCGCCATGTTCTCCGCATTCAACTGTCCCTCCAACAAATATTCCCTGTGTATTTTCTTCGTCAAAAAAATACGGGCATTTTTTCCAGCCATTAATAAGTGCTGAATGCTCGTACAATTTAAAACTGGGCGAAAAACATTCGTTTGAATGCAAAATCGTTAGCTCTCAAAACTACAATAAAAAATCAAAAGTACGTTTTCAAATGAGTAGTAAAAATAATGTATTTGTAGTTGACGAAGAATTATGGATTTCAAGTCCAAAAATGACCAACGCCATAAAAGGAATTGTTACGAACTTTGACCAGTTCATGAACGTTGTTGATGTAGAAGTAAATTTTTCAATCGACTTGCCAATTGGGACACCGGCAACTTTAAAAAAGTCATTTGATAAAACCCCTTACACTCGGATGGAAGCGGCACTTGCTACTTTTTCTTACAAGTACGAATCTGTTTCACCTGAAGTAAGATCAATGTTGCTCGGACGTCAACAACAACATTCACCCGAACGTGACGAAAATCTGACAGATAACAGCCTATTAGCTCCCAATTTACCTGGTTTGAATGAGTCACAGCTGTCTGCTGTGAGCCATGCCCTACGCACGCCAGTTTCTCTAATCCAAGGGCCTCCCGGTACTGGAAAAACGGTTACTTGTGCCAATATTGTATACAATCTGTCCAAGTCCGGAACCGTATTAGTTTGTGCACCGTCGAACAACGCTGTTGATAACTTGGCAAATGCCGTGGCTAAAACAGGCATCGATGTCGTGAGACTCGTGAAAAAAACGAAAGAGACGGTTAAAAGTGATCTTTCAAATATATATCTTAGTGAACAAATTAAAAAGCTTGCTGGTCATTCAGAATTTAAAACTCTTCAAGGGCAGATTGATCAAGGTGTCGAGTTGAGCCCAAATGAGAGAAGGGACTACAATTATCTGAGAAGAATGGCGGAAATCGACTGTCTAGCGAATTGTCGAGTGGTGTGCACAACTTGCTCCGGCGCCGGCGACAACCGTTTAGAAAAAATCAATTTTTCTTCGGTGGTCGTGGATGAATGCGCTCAAGGCTTAGAACCGGAATGCATCATTCCAATCACCCACGGAGCCAAAAAAGTGGTGTTAATAGGTGACCACTGTCAGTTGGGGCCGGTTGTTACGTGTCCGGACACTAGAAACGGAGGTCTGCATCGTTCTCTGTTCGAGAGATTGGTAGCTGCTGGCCTACAACCATTTCGTTTAACTGTACAGTACAGAATGCACCCCGAGATCAGCGAGTACGCTTCACAAACTATGTACGAGAGTACGATTAGGAACGGCGTAACTTGTAGCGACCGAACTGGGTCGATTGATTTCACGTGGCCTAACCCAAATGTGCCGATGGTATTTTACTCTTCCGATGCCAACGAACGAAAATCGCGATCGGGCACGTCTTTCTTGAACTATGGAGAGGCGAAAGTTGTTGAACAACTAGTAGCCAAACTCCTTAGCAAAGGAGCTACTCCAAATCAAATTGGTGTTATAACTCCATATGAAGGACAGCGATCACTTTTGAAACAAATTCTAAACAAGAACAAAGGGGTGGAAGTCAGTAGTGTGGACGCTTTTCAAGGCCGTGAAAAGGAGTACATTATTATATCGTGTGTCCGCTCGAACGAGAGAAACGTCGTTGGTTTCCTGAACTGTGTCCGTCGGCTAAATGTGGCACTTACGCGTGCAAAGTTTGGTCTTTTTTTAGTTGGTAACGCTAACTTTTTGGTTAAAAACCCTACGTGGAAAAGTTTACTACGGTATTATGACGACAGAAATTTGATTGTGGAAGGAACAGTTGATGATATGCGTACAGCACATATTAAGTTTGATTAATTATATATATCATAGCATTTACTTATGAGTAATTTTATTTTATTAATTTTTCTTTAATTGTTTGATACTCTAAATTTAAAAAAAAATTATTATTATTAATTAGTTATTTTTGATACATCAATTATTTATTATACATACTGTTCTATTTTTAAAATTAAAAACATATTTTATTTAAAAAAATTAACTTTTTTTATTCACCTCTACTTTAAAGTAATTGATTAATTTGATAATTCATTAAGTATCATATAACTTAGAGGGAGGTGTTGTCTAATTGGTATGCGGCACTATCTGATGTACGTAATTTTAGGTTTGAGACTTGATTATGATAAGATCCGTTTGCTAAGCAAGACAAGTATTAAACTACATATTCTAAATTATCCATAGTTAAGTAACCTACTCTTCATGTGACTTATTGAGCTATAAAATTGTGAAAAAAATGATTTAATTAAAAAAACTTTTTAAGAATCAAATTAAAATGTACTTCATATTAATCAATATCAATTTAATAAAATTGGGAGCTTAAATAAAAATATGCATTGTTTAAAAATGTATTGTTTTATTTTAATTTTACACTGAGTTAAATGATATCCATTCAATGAATAATTAAAATAAAATTCTAAGTGTTATTATTATTGGGATTAACTAATAGATATAGTTGGCACATTACTTTGAGAATTTATTTTAGATATATAAAATTAACATTCAACTTTAAATATTACACCAACTATAAAATAATTTAATATAAGTAAAGAGAAATTAGAAAAAGTTTAAATAGGTATAATAGCCATAAAAATATTTTTAATTGTTTTAGGCAAAACTATTAGTTTAAAAATATTTAAAATCTTAAAATTTAGTTTAGTTTAAATGTTTTTATATCATTGTTATAACATATGGAAGAGACTTAGAATAAATAACAAGTTATTTTTATAAAATAAAAATTATACTAAATTTTTTTTTTTTCATTTAATACAAAAAAAAATTAATATTCTAATACTTAATTAATTTCAACTATGGAAGTATAATTAAATTTGATTTACATATTACAAAATTCTACTTAACATTAAATTATAATGGAAAAGTGGGATTATTGTTAAAATGATTTTTGTTAAAATAGGATTGATTTGAAAATAGCTGTTTTAGACTAATGAAAAGTCATAGGACCGAGTGGTTAGATATTAATATTTATATAGAACTTGTTCAGTCTTAAAAAAATAAATAAATAGAGTTAGTATAACAGTTTTTATAATTCTTCTTTAGAAGGACCATCTAATTCAACATCTAATAAATCAATATCTTCTACTTGAGGTAATTTACCATCTTTTCCATCCCAATGTTCAATTGTATTAATTTTAGTCAATTCAGCACCTTTGACTGGAGCTGTTCGTCCACGTCCATATGATGAATCCCTAGTTTTTTTTTTAAACAAATTATCAAAACTGAATAATTTTTAATAAAAAAAATATATAAACCTCAAAAATTTATTAATGCCATCTTCTGAAAAAGATCCCCTTAAAATAGTGTACTTCATTTTTTTAACATTTAAAACTGCTAATGCAGGATAACCAAATCCACCAATTTCTAATGATGATTCCAATTCAGACTGATTTCCTGCTTCAGACCATAACCATCTAAAAAAATAAGAACTTGTAATCACAAAAGAATAAGGACAGTAAATGTTTTTAAGTAAAATTAAAAAGTAATAATTTTCTAATATAATTAAGTGATGTAGTTTACCCCCAAAGCTTTTGTTTAAATTTATCTCCCAATGAGCGCAACATTTTGATGTATTCATTACGACAACTGGACTGACAATCTAAGATATGAGGCAATACAGCAATTACACATAAAGCATGTTCTGAACATCCAGACTTGAAGGTATCTTCATTTATAACCTAGTACAATATGATTGATTAAAGGTAAATTATTTATTTCAATATAAAAATGTAGATTAAATTTCAGAAAGTACTATATAAAACAAAAATCTTATACAATTTTCAAGATTCAAAAAAAAATAAGTTTGGTAAAATAAGAAAAATTTGTTTTACTTTTTCTAAATATATAGATTTTACCTTCAATAAAAAATATGCTTAACCAACTCATTTAAAGTAAAATTTTTTTAATCTGGCAACAATTTTAAACTTAACAATACATCAAATAATTATATGTAAAATATAATTAAAATTTTTTAAGTCTCAGATTTAAAAAAAAAATCAAAGAAAGAAAATTATCTTATTTTCTCATTGATTGTATGAAAAATAATTGTCTTACTAAAAAAAATGTTTGTTCTCATATTTATTTATTCTGTTTTATATAAAGAGAAATACATGAAATTATTTTCATCAAATTTCATTATTCTGAATCAATTAATTTTTTTTGTAAAAAAAAAAAACATAAAGGTACCTGCATAAAAACATAAACTATACAAAATTTAATACCTCAAAAACTTCAGGAGGTGGTACATTTTCTTGATGTTTCTGCAATGCCCAGCTAATAATATCATCGGATGTTCGACCACCTGTGTATTCTTCAGCTCCACTAGAACTAGATGTGCCTGATGGGAAGAATTTTATTGTTGGATAACCTCTAATTTGATACTCTTGAGCTTTTGATGAATGTACAGTAGCATCTAATGTAATAAACCGGGTTTAACCTTAAGAATAGTAATAATTTATTATTTTAATTTTCATATAATTTATAATAAATAAAATATATGATTATATATTTTATCGATGTATATTTTTTAATAAATAATTAGCAAAAAATTATAATTATGAATGACATTAACATCATAATTATAAAATTGCCATTAATAGATAGATAATTTTGTGAAGAATTCAAAAATACACAATATAAGTATATTGTATTTTACATGTAAATAATCAGAAAAAGAACAATTTAAAAATATATATATATATAAAACAGATAAGTTTGAAAAAATTTACCAAAAAATGATGGAATTTAATTTAAATATAATATTATTTTATATGCCAAATATTTTTCAAACTCTTAAAAAACTGTACTAAGAAAAGTTGTATAAAAAATTTAATTGCAATTTTTTTCAATTTTGTTAGCTTTAAATCAATTTTTTTAAAAATTCAGTTATTTGTCATGTAAAAAATACAATACAACTTTTATTTTTTCTCAAAGTTATCTACCTATTGGTAGCAATTTCATAATTATAAGAATAAACCCAAAAATAGTTAAGTAGAAAGTTAAGATTTTTTTTCTGAAAAATGATTATCAACTAAAGATTAGAGGTCAATAAAAAATTTAACTTGACGGATAAATCTTACATTTTGTACAAATCCTTTTTAACAAACTATAGTAGGAGAGTTAAAGAAAAAAAAATCATTTTTCATTTTTTAATAATGATTTAATTCTTAATTACTAATTAATAATTATCTCAAAAACATTGAGTGACCTTTATAAAAACTTGAGCCAAATTCAGAATTAGCATCAAAATTCAATATAAAATTTATCAAAATATTAAATTACATAACTCACAACACAAAACTATACTCTAATTAGTTATATAACAATGTTAACCAATATTATTTTATATAATNAAAGCTAAAAAATTGGCTATTTAAGCTAATTCAAATTTAAAAATTACTTTTTCGACTTAAAAAAGTAAAAAAAATTTAATAAGTTTAATTTCTTATGTCTTATGAACTTTATTCTATGTCAATTAAATTATATAATATTCATGAAAGTCAATATATTTTCCTAATAAGATATTTTAAAATAAAATACAAAACCAAGAATTTTAATAGAAAAATAGCATATTTTTGAATACGGTAGCCATTTGCGCATAGAAGATAGGTCGTCGGGACAAATTTTTTTTTTTCATTTTATAGTACATAAAATAAGCTTTAATTTGATATATGTTTAAAGGACGTAGTATTTCCGGAACATTTTCAAAAATTAAGTTGAAAAAGTTAGTTTTTGTAAAAAAGTTACTATTTTAAATCCCCCCAATGAGCAGGTTAAGTGTTAGATTTTCAAAAAAATGATATCAAATGAAAGGGAAATATCTAAGGTTTTAGTATAAAAAAAAAATTATGTTGATTTGTTTATTTTTGAAAAAGTTATGGAAGTTTTAAGACAAAAAAGTGAAAAAAATGACAAAATTTACCGATTTTTAAAGTAATTTTATTGGATATTTCCCCCATTTGCGGGGAACGATGGAAAATTTTTCAATTTTTAAGAGTAATGTATTCAACTAGATACGATTTGTGATCTTTTGACGTATTGTTGAAAGAAATCGGTCCAGTGAGAGCTGAGAAGTGGCAAGACATAAAAAAAAAAAAATACATCATGGTAAAATTAATACCTTCTCAGCTTCGCATCGAATCTAATAATCAGTAATAAAAAAAAAATTATACACAAAACTGTATAAAATAAAAATTATTATTTTTTTGGCCTGTTTTAAACATTGTTTAGACAAAATATTGAAACAATTTACGACTCTGTTGGTTATCCTATATTTTATAATCCATTAATTTATATTAATAGTATTATCAACAAAGACGTATGTTTTTAATGAGTGTTTTATACAAATAATAAAAAATAAATTTTTTAATTATTTATTTAAATAAATTGGTGCACCTATGGGCTTAGGAAAATTTCAGTTACATTATATTAATCCCACGGTTATATATATATGATACAACTATGGTCAATCCATTACCATGATTATTGGGCTGTTAACATGGGGATCTATTTGACAAGGGATTTTATGTCCGTCATATTAACTTAGGGTAAAAGAGGTAAATCATAATTTTGTACCTTTGCTAATGAGTAAAATTTTATGTATGATATCATTAAATTATGCGTATCATTATATGCAATGTAAGAATACAATTATGTTTAATACTTTTCCGATTTGTGCTCCAGCCCGTATATAATATTTTAAAATTTGCGCATGCGGACTACGTTCTGTTACTGTATAGTTTTATAGGTTATGTCAATTTTTAATCACTGCGACTTTTGAAGTAAATTTCATTGTGTTAATTTTAATGTTATTTTGGTTCAATTATTCTTTATTATACATTACTTAAAGTTTTAACTTACAAGTTTATAAACATGATGTCCCAAAATGGTGCACCAATATTGGTGCTCAATACAAACACGAAGAGGAAATTTGGCCACAAGGTGCAATTAGAAAATATTGCTGCAGGTGAATTTAATTTTCTATATTATCAATATATATTTGAATTATTAAACAATTGTTTGTTTTAATATTATTAAGTATGTTTAAAAATATTTTGTCAATTAATTAATTTGTTTATTTATTAAAATTGATTTTATGTAAAATCTTAAGTTTAGGCAAGACTCAGGATTCTAATACTAGTGCCCTGGGCGAAACCACTATAATGCGCCTATACTACAAAATTATTATTTTTTATATCATACTTTTTAGTTTATTAACTTTTTAAATTTTTCAATAATTGTTACTACAGTATAGTTTATTTTTGAACATTTTTCATAACATGTGAATAATTTGAACTTTAATTGTTCAAGTTTTATTATTAAGTTTAAACTTTTTATAACGTAACTTGACAATTAAACCTCTTTATGATTAGTGACCAGATCATAAATTATCCATAGCTATTGCAGAACCTAGTTGTAGAAACTTTATTTCTTACTGAGTATTAGTGATTCAGTTAAAAATTTCCTACTTAGTTTAAAGTAAAAGAAAATCTTCCAAGTATATATTATACAATATATTTACTATGTGGTCTAAAATTTAATGAACATGAAATATTTTTAAGGCAAAATTAAACATATACAAGGTGATTCTTTTAATGTTAGCCACTCAATTTTTCTTAAAATAATGAGATTTTTGTCATTTTTTTTTTTTTTTTTTTGACTTGTGTTAGTTAAGTGTGTATTTCCATTTATCTGTTATAAAAAAATTTTTATATTCATCTTTTATGTTTTCTAAAGGTGTCAAGTTTATTTTTTTAAATGGCATCATACATATTTAACTAGATTATAAAATAGAAAATCATCTAATTAAGAAAATGACTAGTTGATATTAACTTTTAGATCAGTGATTGGAAGATATTTACAATTTTGCACCTGGGCAGGAGAGGATAACAGCCAAAATATGATTCATGATAAAAGTAGCAAATTCCTCGCTTCAACTCCAATCTATATTTTAAAATGCTTATTACTTCCGAAATACTAGATTAAAAGTTGTTATTGACCAAACATTTTCTTAATTAGTTAAATTTCTATTTTATAAGCTAGTTATATATGTATGTTGTCATTAAAAAAAAATGAAGTTGACACCTTTATAAGACATAAGAGATAAACCTAAAAATTGTTTTATAACAGATAAATGGATATACATGTATAACTAATTTCAAAAAACTTCTTATTTTAAGAAAAATTACATTGATAGTGTTTAAAAAATCACTCTGTATTTTATAATTACTACTTTTTTTAATTTATAACATAATAAGTTAAAAATTAACAAATTAAACTTGGGAAAAATATTAAGTTTTCCAAGTTGAGCCTTGATTTCAACATTATCTGATTGACTATTTAAATAGCAAAAAAGTGATCTAGAACTAGTTGTTAACTTATATTAGTTCCTAAAATTAAACTAAAAATATGTCATGATTCAAACAGTTAAATAATAATTAGTAGTAATTTTTTTTTCATTTTTTCTTAGGTAAAGCAATTGCAGATGTAGTACGCACATGTATTGGACCTAGAGCTATGCTTAAAATGTTAATGGATCCTATGGGTGGTATTGTAATGACAAATGATGGTAATGCTATACTTCGAGAAATTACAGTTCAACATCCAGCTGCTAAGTCATTTATTGAAATAGCTCGAACTCAAGATGAAGAAGTGGGTGATGGAACTACTTCAGTTGTCGTACTTGCCGGAGAAATACTTGGAATTGCTGAACAATTTTTAGAACAAAAAATTCATCCTACTGTCATAATTAGAGCTTATCGTCAAGCTCTTGAAGATATGTTAGAAATTTTAGACAAAGAGTATAGTATTCCATTGTCATTAGATGATGAACCAAAACTTATTGAAGTTATTAAATCATGTGTTGGTACAAAATTTATTGGTAGATGGTCTGATTTAGCATGTAGTATTGCCTTAAGGGCTGTTAAAACAGTCAGTATTAAAGATGAAAGCCGTACAGAGATTGATATAAAAAGATATGCAAAAGTTGAGAAAGTGCCTGGTGAAGCCATTGAGGATTCTCAAGTTTTGAATGGAATAATGTTGAATAAGGATGTTACTCATCCAAAAATGAGAAGATTTATTAAAAATCCAAGAATAGTACTTTTAGATTGTTCATTAGAATTCAAAAAAGGAGAAAGTCAAACTGAAGTAGAAATTGTAAAAGAAACTGATTTCACAAGACTATTGCAAATCGAAGAAGAGTACATTAAACAAATATGCTCAGATATTATTGCACTAAAACCTGATTTGGTATGTACTGAAAAAGGAGTTTCTGACTTAGCACAACATTTCTTATTAAAAGCTAACATTTCTGTTCTTAGACGTCTAAGAAAATCTGACAATAATCGTATTGCAAGAGCTTGTAATGCTACAATAGTTACTCGAACTGATGAGTTACAAGAGAATCATGTAGGAACAGGAGCTGGTCTTTTTGAAGTAAAAAAAATTGGTGATGAATATTTTACTTTCATAACTGATTGTGTCAATCCTAAAGCATGTACTATTTTACTTAGAGGACCAAGTAAAGATATACTTAATGAAGTTGAACGAAACTTACAAGATGCTCTGCATGTAGCTAAAAACATTATGTTGAATCCTAAATTGGTTCCTGGAGGTGGTTCTATTGAAATGGCTGTCTCGCAAGCTTTAGTCAAAAAAAGTTCTCAAATTGCTGGTGTAGTACAATGGCCCTATAAAGCTGTTGCTCAAGCTTTAGAAGTTATTCCACGAACTCTTTTACAAAATTGTGGAGTTAGTACTATAAGAACAATGACCTCATTGAGAGCTAAACATGCAGTGAATGGTAATGAACATTGGGGTATTAATGGTGAAACAGGTGAGATGGCTGATATGAAAGAACTTAAAGTATGGGAACCAATTGTAGTAAAATCACAAGTTTATAAAACTGCCATTGAAACAGCTATTTTACTAGTTCGTATTGATGATATAGTATCTGGAACCAAGAAGAAGGGAGAAGAAGGTCAACAAAAGGCACCTGCTCAACCAACTGAAGAGTCAATGAAAGAATAAAAATTTGCAAAATGTTGCTACTTTTTTACTTATTACTAAATTATAACACTTGTAACAATCTGTTAAGTACTAATGATTTCTGAAACTATTTTATATTACTTAAAACTATCCTAACAAAAATATTTTTTGTATGGTTTTACCTACAGCTATAAAAATTTAATAAACATATTCATACTATTTTGTTAAAAAATTAATTTGCCTTAATGAAAGATGATTATAAATTACCTAAACTTAATTTAATGAGATAATTAATATAAGTTGTTAGTTCTTGAAAATATCTTGTGGTTACAAAGAAAAATAATTCTTATTATTATTAAAGAACTAATTATATTAATATATTCATATATCTTGTTAAAATTACTAATTCAAAGTCATTTTATTTATGCGGTTTATCTTGTTAATATGGTTTACAAGCAAAATATTAAATTATGTTTTTGTTATTATTAACGAAACATCTAGATTTGAAGATGATTATTGATTCCAATACACAATAAAGTTAAGTAACTATTTTGGCCAAAATAAGTTGGATCATTATATAAATTTAGAAACTGAGCACTTTCTGTTTTTCCAATGTTAAGTATTTAATTCTGAAAACTGAATGGTAAATACTGAAGTATCATATAGTGTTGGCAAAATTATTTTTCCAAAACGAAATTTGTTTCTTTTTTGTTAAAAAAAATATCTAAAAACCTGCTAAAATTATTTATTATATTTATACAATAATTAATTTTAAATTAAAGTATAGGGTATATTTTAACATTCTTGAGCATATTAGCTATTTGGGGGGGATTTAACTTATTTCCTTAACAATTTTTTTATATAAATTAACAAGAAATTTTCATAATTTTTCTTTAGACCAGGCTTTGTAATAGAATTAGGGACTAAACTCCTTCTGAACTGCCTATGATCCTGTGCTTTCGAGGATTACAATTTTTAGTATATTATTTAATATTCAAAATATTGTTAATAGTTAACGTATAAATACTTCATTTATAACAATTATAAACAAAATTTTTTTTTTAAACACAAAAATTTAAAAGAATTGTAAATTTAGTTTATATTTCTCATAAAATTGAATTCTTCTTTCACGTTCCTCATTCCTTTATTTTTATAGGAAGCCAATTAGTTTTGTTCTTATAAAAAGATTTTGTATCTGGAATTAAATATTTTTAGAACAAACATCTTCCAAACACTGGTATTTCAAAATATTAAATTAATACGACTCTTACGGCAATAAAGAATTAAAAATAAAACTTAAATTCTAAAAGTGCAATTACATTTTCTTGTGCACTAATTTTTTGATGATTTTTTTATTTACAATTACATATATTCACAAAAGTACACTGAAATTTATTTTGATTTAAAAATTATTATGTTATATTATAATAAAAATAATTTAAATACATAACAATTTTAATATATCAGTATATTCATAAAATTGATTTATTTTGTTCAAACAGCAAACTTTAAACAAAATTAAATTGTTTTTCAAATATTTTATGCCATAATATACACATTTATGTTCTTTGGTCATTTAGCAAATGTTATAGTTTCTATTAAATATTTTTAGAAGAAAACAAAAAGTTAGACATACAACCATAGAGATCTCTTAAATAATACAAAAAATATTTTCTAAATTATAGTGTGGATGCTTCTTCATTAGGAATATTAGTTAAAAATGGATCATTCTTCCAGTAATACCGAGGAGAACCTTCAGAAACACAGAGTGGCTGCTCTAGGGGATCAGTTCCTTCTACCCAATACATCAAGTAAAAATTACACATTTCATCATCACTAGTTGCTCTGAAAGGAAAAATTAATTCTTTACTTTTTACTCAATTTTGAAAATAATTAATTATTTTATATAAATTAAAAATTTTTTAATAGTCTTGTCAATTTTGAAGATAAACGAAGCTGAATTTAATTTTTTTTGGGACGAAAAAAATAAATATATGTAGGAAGTTCAGTTAGGAAAAGGGTTTCTGTTGTTCTCGTCGTTTATAACGATTGATGTATTTCCTCTTTTGAACATTCTGTATATAGAATGTTCAGTAAGTTAGAAAATAGCAATTTTTTTTGTATAATATATATTTTTAAATGTAATTGAACAATTAAATGCTTCTTATACTTAAAATAAAAGTTGAACTCTAATATTAAAGGAAAAAAATACTAATTTAACTTTAAATGGCAATCACTGCCTTTATAAAATCATTGGTTAGATAATTCAATTTAAAACTAAAAAATATTGAACTTAAAATGCCTCAAAAATTACCAAAATATCATATAAACTTTTAAAACTCTTACCCAATTTTTGTGACAGTATCTCTTGTATTTTCCATTGTACATCTAGCAGCCTAAAATGTATAACATAGAGTTAAATACATTAATAAACATTTGTAAAATTAATGTCATAGAACATATTTTCAATTTGTATCTATTTGTAAAAAATAAAATCAAATTGAAAAAATAACAGATAATTTTTTTTTTTCATTATTTTTTATACTACTGTCCTACTGTCTTCCTTCATTTATGGCAGTCACGAATCAAAAAGAAATTTTGGAAGATCATACTATTTCTGATAAAGTGAGAGTTATTTTTTAAAAAGAGAATTTGAATATAATTCTAATTTATTTTAGGCTGGGGCATCATTGCTCTTATATCCACCCACTGAAAATTATGAAAACTAAACCAGACTAATTAAAAATGACCCTGTCACAAGTGATCTATAACTTTAATATAATACATTTAGTTTCTTAATTTTAATAAAAAAAAGAAAAACTTTTAAAAAAATATATTTAAATGCATAGATTAATAACACTAACAAAAGTTTTTTTCTTTTTTGAGAGTATACAAGCTTTAAAGTTACCTAGTTTTCATAATAACTGCTTAATATCAAATAATAGTATATCACATGAAAGCTACATACATAGAGAATATAATACAATACTAAACACATTCAATTTTTCAATTTTAATTTAACTTTTTAATTCATATTGATTATATTGACAGCCTAACATGTACTGTATATAAATCTTTTTTTTATAAAAAAATATTAACTAGCAGTTACTTGAAAACTTACGTTTGATTGATATTTCTTATAAAACATTCAAATAATTAGTTTTATTGTAATAAAATTATTTTTAATAGTTATCTAAATTATATTAATTTATAAAATTCTGTTTGTAAGGTGTAAATGTTTATAGAACTATTGTTTGTATTTTACAAATTATAATAAATAAGATGAAGCAGTAATGTTAATAAGTAACCTTTTATTTTTTTGTTATTACAATAAAAATTTCATCTATTCATTTATAATTTAATATTGAACTGATAAAATGCATTTTTAAAACACTAAAAAGTGCTAACTTATTAATATTAAAAAATTACTTTGTTATTTACTTTTTTAATTTTACTTGTATTTCTTTTTACTTCTTTGTAATTTCAAAAAGATCTAAAATATACATTTATTAAAAGAATAAGTTAGAATATTTAAATTGCATATTTATAAATATATTACTTCATATTTCTAAATAAAATGAAAGAAAAATATATGTATTTGAAACAAAAATGTATATGTGTACATAAAAATTGTGATAACTTGGTTTTTATGAGGTGTATTAACTTTGAAGCTTTGTAGTGGATAAAATATTAAATATAAAGTTTTCATTATTATACCATTTTAATTTTTAAAAATTAAGAAAATAAAAATATCATAGTAACCCAATAACATCTGTCTAGCTTCACATTAAAGACAACAACTATTGATTAATAGTTAAAACTAATAATAATTTTAACTATCTATAACAATTTTTCTAAAATATTTCATTTTTTCTAAAAGAGAAGAAATGTGATTTTAAATTGTACTGTATAGACTTACCAGTCGGTCACCAAACTCTATAGTAACATTATTTTCTATAGGATAAAACATTTGTGGAGTTAAGGGATCTCTTTTACCAAGAATATCCCATTTTTCAATTCCTTTATTGTCTGTTCTCACTCGGTAACCAGTCACTACTTTACCTAAATAAAATAAATAATGCCTATTAAAAATACAACTAATTTATACTTTTTGGGTGATCCAGGGAGACTGCACTGGGGTAAAAGGAAAAAAAATTTATTGAATGACATAAAAATTAGTTTTCATATCTAAAAACTTTTAAACTAAAAATATCCCCTTTGAAAAAAATCTGGATACACTTCTGTTTATATCTTTTAGTTTTTATTCACTAAAATAAAACATTTTAATTACCAAGTTCATGAGTATGAGTTCTATATGCAAAAGGATGTATGATTTTTCCAGGCTCAAACATTGAACACGCAGTTTCCATATGTTCAATTGAATGTGGAGGAATTTTTCCATTAGTAGCAAGTAAGTATACACCAGCTTGTTTTTTTAATCTATCAGAATAATAATAAAATTGAATAACATAAAGTGAACATAATTTTAAGTAATAATAACTTTTGTCGGATTATATTAAAAAACAGAAAACTGCAATTTAAAAGTTTACATATAATTATATGTCTTTTTGCATAACAAATCTTTTACTCAATAACAATAATTTATTATTAATTCTTTGGGACTTTTTGAACAAATCATCAAAAATAACATAGAAAATCAAAATTGATAATAATTATTTAAGAAACTGATAATAATATAAATATTACGTAAAATTGAATTGACGTTGTTTTGTCTAATAATATTGTATTATATTTCAAGCTATGTTAAAAGTTAATTTTTTATGTAATTATCATAAATATAACTAAAAAATGAGATTACTAATTATTAAACTTAAGAATATTTTTAGAACTATTATTTTCCGCCTAAACAATTATATAAGAATTAAAGACTTCCGCCTTTTCAAAATAATCTAATTATTTATTTAAAAAAATAAATAATTTAAAAACAAAATAGAATTTTAAATAGATAATTTATATATATTTATTAAAATTATGTATTATTACTGTTTTTCTGTGTAATGCAAATATATTCCAGAGTTGTCAGTTTCATCATCTGCAAAATTAAAATTTTCAAAAATTAAATATAAATTTTGTTAGATTTATGGTTAGGAAACTTATTAACAGTTATAAAACAAAAGAATATTCTTAAATAACTTTCTTAGTAAAAGAATTCTCCTATAAAATACTGGAGGGTAAATTAAAAAAAAAGAATAGCATTTTATGTTTAAGAATATTTAGTTACATTTAAAAATTATTTAATGTATTGAATATTTATTAAAAAAGTGTAAAAGCAAAAATATCATGATTCTCTAAAAGGCATAATTATTGTTTAAAAGCTCAAAAAAAATTCTCTAGTGTAGATTTGTAATAAAAAAAATAGTTTATATTAAAGTTAAATAGGCTTAAGTTAACCGTTTCTAAATTTGACTCTAATGTTTGTTAACTAAAAAAATATAATAATTATATTATATTTTTTTTAAAAATTATTTTTGTTTAGATTTTGTTCGTTTAAAAATTTTGAAACTTAAGAGAAAAATTTAGAAGTGGTCAACTCAATCTCATTTTATGATTATTAAAAAAAATATTCTCATTTATTGTAAATATTTCAGGATTTATGAGAACTGATGATTTAAGGACCCAAAAAATACGAGGTCTAAATGTATATGTAATTAATATCAGTATTAAATTAATAAAGTTTAATTAATTATAAATATTCTTTTGTGATTATACACATTTGTATATGTTCAGTAATATCAATTTGTTTAATAGATAGATATTTATATTCTACATTCTCACTAGTATGAGGTATTCACATCAATATATTATAATATAAATATAATTTTAAAGTAAGCAGGTTTTACGGAATATGGCCAAAATAAAAAATAAAAAGTACCTTTGTTGCTATGTTTCAATATTCGACACATTATTTATTAAATTTTACTAGTTTTATTAAAAATTCGTTAGTTTATATACAATTGTTATAATGATTATAATAACTTATCCATTATGAAAATTGTTCATATACAACGTAATCACACAAAAACATTTTTATTATTTCAAAATAGTCAATAAATATAATTACCAAAGTATCACCTATTGACTAAAATGTAATATCAAAAATATTACACTTTTAATCTCGAAAAATAAAAAGCAAAACGTCTGCTAAATTTTACTATTGACATGCAAAAACAAAACGTCTTTTTCGGAAAATTATGACGACCACAGCGTTAGCACTAGGCACTAGATGTTTAAAGATCAGTTATTCCATAACTCTATAAGAATTAACATTAAAGTTGTTATCGACCTATCAAAATTTTTAATAAAAAAAGTTAAAAATGAATTATTTTTAAATTTAAAAAAATAAAAAATGTATTTTTATTTTTTCTTGTTTGATACAAAGAATATAAAAGACGAATTCCTTACAATTTATAGGAAAAAATATTTAAACAAATTTTTTTATTTAAATAAATTGGATTATATAAAAAAACTTAGGTTTATCATTTGAAAATCGAAAGTCGATACGAGTTTAAGATATAATGATTGTAGCAGAAAATTAATTTTTTGTGTAAAGCAGCTTAAAAAAGAACTATTATTGTAAAAAAATTTTAGTAGCGTCAAAGAAAAAATTACTATAAATCAAAGTATAAAAATTATAACTATTAAACCCTACTCTTCTATAAGTATATAATATTAAGCTCATACCTCTTTATTATATTAATATTTGTATATTAGTTAAACGTTAGAACACTTCCGTTTATGTTATTAACACTACATTAATCTCATATCATTTAAATAAATTATACTTAAGGATAGATCAAAGTGTATGTAAGGGTGTCGAAATTTAAGAGTAAACACACTAACTGTCAAAAGTCCTGTGGTAATGAACTTGTAACACCAAATAGTTGATTTCTGAATCTCCTCCAACTTTAAAACCAACGCCATCGGGAAGTTTAAGTATAGGTGCATCTCTAGCCCATGCATACAATATCTGAAAAATATATTTACATTGATATTTATTTTTTATAGCATAATTATCTCACCTTTTAAATTAAAAAAATAAGAAAGTAGCAAGGAAAATTTATATAAATATTAATATGTGCATAAGTATTTAGCTTTTTTGTGTCCCCTCCCTATAACTTAGTAGTACTCAATAAAAATAGTTGACAACTTTACCATTAAAATTTTGAATTTTAATTGTACAACACAATCCATAAACATTAAATCTTTTGAAAACTGTAGTTATTTGAACTAATATTAAAAATAATTTTAGATTTTATGCGAAGCTATGAAAATACTAATCTTAGTATGATGTGTGTGTTTTTTTTTATATAGTCTATATAAGTTCTCAGCTCACATTGGACTGATATAAATACAGTAAATACACCAATAAACTTTTTTTTGAAAATGTCTTGGAATGTTTGATGACATTCAATTTACATCATGTTAAAGATTTTAAAACGTACTCTACAATGTTCAAAAATTAAATAAACAGGTCAATTTTCATTAGTGATGTATTTACAGGGGATCCATAGAGTCCCAACCTACTTTGGACATAAATTTATAGTAGAAGGATTAATAGAGAAGCGAATCTTCTCTAATTTTTAAAAAATGTATCACATTTAACAAAAATACATGATTTTTATTTATAAGAGACCGATTATTCATAGAAAAAGTCGTTGGAACGTCTTTCTAATTGTTTCATACATTAAATAAATTTCAATTTTATTTAGTTTTGAATAATGCTGATGTTAACCCAACTGTTGTTTTGCAAAATACTTCAAATTCGGCTTTTTGGTACCGAAAATTATCATTTTTGACATAATGGCCAATTACTCATAGATATTAAGTTTTATATAGTTTTTCTTTTTCATATTTTTCATCAAGTACATTGTATTAGCTTTAATTAAAGGTTTTAAGAAGACAATTTTTTTTGAACATTGTGAAATATTGAAAAGAAACAATGTTAATATGATTTTAAAGTCATCAAATACTTTGGATAATAATTGAGTGTTCAAAAAAAGTATGGCAGCGGCAATGTAAATATCTAATGTATTGTCGATAAAAATTTCGTAATAATACGTCTAGTTTGTCTGAAAACTAAAATTTTTTATATCAACGATTTTGCAAAAAGTGTAATTTTTGGGGCATCATTTAAAATGATGCCATCTGAAGAAGTTTCAACTAAGTACAATTTGTAATCTTTTGATGTATAATTGAGCAAACTCAATCCAATAGAAGTGGAATATTTTCATAGACAGACTAAGAAAAAAACACGTCAAATTAAAATCAATAGCTTCTCAAATACAAATCGATGCTAAAAACAATAAATAGTTTACTACACTAAGTAAAATTTTTCCATAAGTGGAAAAATAAATAATATTTTTGAATTCTCTTTTATGCAATCGCCATTCAATTATAGTTATAGAAAATTGGTATGTTTAATATGTTGGTAACTAACGTTTGATCCGGATCTACATGGACTTGAGTGCATGTATGGGTGTGTACGCCTATTTGGAGAAGCCATTTGTCCGCAGTTCCTAAAAATATTAATAAATATAAATTTTTTTTAATATAATTAATTACATCAGTAAATATTTATGATTACTCACCATACCGGATCATCACTTCCGGGATCTGAACATCCATATAGTAACATATGATGGGAAGTATGACCTGACGCTTTTGGCTCAAATCCGACTGTAAATAAAATAAAAGACTTTTTTTAATCTTCTTCTTCCTTGCCTTAATCCCAACTACTTGGGATCGTCCAAAACAAAAAGTTTTTTGTAATCATTAATTTCTATAACAGTTCTTACAGCTTCCGATTCTTCTCTTACCATAACATGACCAAACCATCTAAGTCTATTTTTTCTACACCTATACTCCCTCTTATATTCTCGTTCCTTATCCTATCTTTTCTATCACTCCACTCATCTATCTAAGCATTCTCATCTCTGCTACACTCATTCTCTGCTCTACTTTCTTATCAACCGCCCAACACTCTGAACCATACATCATAGCTGGCCTCACTACAATCTTGTAGAATTTACCTTTCAGCCTCATTGGAATTCTTTTATCGCATAAGACGCCAGACGCTTCTCTCCACTTCAACCCCCCATACTTAATCCTGTGTCTTACATTCTCGTCAATACCACCGCTATTTTGCACAACTGACCCTAAATACTTAAAACTATCCACCTCTGCTATCACAATTTCGCTTATTGTCACTGTTCTCCTAATTTCACCACCTCGTGTTCTCCTTTGTCAAACTCGTACTCTATATAATCTGTCTTACTTCTACTTATTCTTAAACCCTTTTCTTCAATAGCTGATCTCTACACCTCTAGCTTTTGATTAATTTCCTCCCTATTTTCTCCTATTAACACTATGTCGTCAGCAAACAACATGCACCATGGCACCTCTCCTTGTATTTCTTTAGCAATTTCATCCATCATTATAGAGAATAAGTAAGGGCTCAAAACAGAACCTTGGTGCACTCTTACTCTTACCCGAAAACCTTCTGTTACTCTGAAGAATGTGTTAAAGAATTTAGATGTTATAATGTATCACGTAATATAAGAAATTAAGAAAGCATTAAAACACAACCAAAACTGACCAAGACTAAAATAATCTTGAGATTAAAATAATCACCATTAATTTATGTTCCTTCATTGTTACTATTTTAATATATATTTTTTAAGTGTTAAAAAGAATACTTGTCTTAAGTTTTTATATTATTATATACTCTTGTTGATTTATTATATACTTATGATTAAATTGGTGTATAATAAATTCAGAAGTGTAGGAAAGAATAATTGTTTTTAGTTTTATATTATTATATATTACATAACTAATACTAATTAGTAATTACTAAAAATTAAATAATAAAAAACGGTAGCACAGTAGAGTTATGGCACAGTGCGCACGTGGTATAGTTAGGACAAGTAAAGTTTATATTTGACACTATAAAATCACTATCTCTATATTATATCTAAGAAACTCTTCAATGAGTCTGTAGATAGCGTTTAATTAAAAAGAATTGGTAGATTATTCCAGAAACAAAATGAACTCATAATTCTTTAATTATACCCTGATTAGTAGTTCTTTGATTAATAAGTATAATATATGAATAAAGACTTATTATAGTAGTTAAATTTAGTATGAAATTTAAATTCAATAGTTTAATATTGTAATTTTTACAGAGAAACTAAAAAACATAATAAGGTAGTTTTATATTTCGTTACTTCCATGACAAACGTGTGTAAAAATTAAAGGGCTTGATGCAGTACATTTCAAAAAGAAATTTTTGTTACTTATGAATAAATACACTGTTCTATAAGGAATTTCCATCATGACCAAATTATACTTTTTTAAACCCATTTTTCACCGATTATAAATTTGCAATTAGATTTATTATATCACCTCTTCTCTGAGATTATAACTAATTGGTAAAACACAAGTATTTACATATAAAAAAAAATTGTTTTCAAAATGTTATTGATTTTAATTTTTAATATGTTAAAAATAATCCGTGCTAAATGTTCTTTTTATCTATTATTGTGGTCCTTTATAGTTGATTTTTATGATAGATAATAATAAAATAAGGTTATACTTTTTACCATAACTTTTTTTAGCTCAACTTGCAAGTTTGAAATCCACATCATTCAACAGAAAATTTCATATTTTTAGAATAGTATGAAGTCCCGAATTTTTTTAATTACTATTTACAGTAAATTTATAAGGAAAGGTCAAAATTTCTCCGTAAAAATTACAATACTAAATTAATAAATATCAATTTAATACTAAATTGAATTACTATTATAAGTACTTATTCATGTATTATGTTTATCATAAAACTTATAATCAGAATATAATTAAGGAAATAACTGTTAATATCGCTTTTAGAATAATTCCTTCCAAAAATTAATCACTGTCAGATATCATCTATACTTATCCCAACTATGCCATATCTCCACTGTGTTGAGATTTTACAGAAATATTTTATAAGGACAATTAAATTAGAACACTCAATTTTTTTTTTTAATTAAAATAAAAACCTATATTATTATCTAGGTAGAATTTTTTACTAACTAAAGAGAATAAGTTGACAGTTAGTACTTACCAATAAAGTATGATTTACTAGAATCTATTCTGATAGGTGTACATAAATAAAGATCCATCTAAAAAAAAACATTAATATGTGAATAATTGTGTTAGTAAGGTTTATTATATAAATAGTGCATATAATGATTTGAACATAAAAACGCTTAGTTCCAAAGGCTAAAAATATTTATTATGTTTCACTGAAGATAATATACCGAATCTTATTTTATCTATCTATAAACAAACAAAAACATTTTGTACATACGTTTTTTTGGCAACTGTAATATTTTAACTATATACAGTAAAATCATAACATATTACTAAGTTTAAAGTAAAACACACATACTATACCGAAGAAATTGTGTGACTCACAATATTACAAGATACAATATTAAAAACTATTAATTATTTATTTAATAATATAAAGACTCAAAAAGGTACATTCATATAACAAAGAATATGTATTCTAGATAGATTTTATGGTAAGAGTAGGAGTGCACCAAGGTTCTGTTTTAAGCCCTTACTTATTCTCTATAATGATGGATGAAATAACTAAAGAAATACAAGGAGATTACGTGTCAAGTGGAAGTTTAGGATAAGGGTGACCGACCCCAAGTAGTTAGCAAAAAGCCAGAAAACGAAATGAATAATATAAAGATTTACTTAATTTTTTTTTAAAATATTTTAAAAGAATAACGAAATTTGATTGGGATGATTATGGTATCCCAAGGGTATTAAATAGTCAAAGAAGTAGGATCCAAATTTAAATTGAAAAAATAAAGATTTTTATGATTTTATTCATAAATATAAAACTATTTTATCTATCATTAAAATATAATTTAATGATTTATAGTACATTTTATAAAAAATCTAAATAGGTGTTTAGTAAGTAAGGAAAAGGGTTTCTATTGTTCGTATTGTTTATAACAATTGATATGTTTCTTTATTTACTGAACAAACTGTATAATATTATCCCATAGTTCCACTAATAAAATAGAAGAAAAAAACACTGTAGTTAAATAACATGCTACTGCAATATGATTACTTTTATATCTAACTAAAAACAACATAAAAGTATGTTCTAGTTGACAATATCTTATGATAAATTACAATTTCAATTTGTACTAAAATTGGAATCAACTAACGAAGGTTGGAATAATCGAATTTCCTTTAAGCACAATTGTAACAAAGTGATTTATGACAGTGATTTTGATTACTATAATATTCCAATTTATAATGATCCCTTCCACGCCATATCCAAAGTTTAGCTTAGATGCGAATTGACATAATATTAATTTTACACTGACGCGTGTTTTCTTTTTGTGCAATGTTATAAAATTATGGTGTGTCCCACGTAACTATAGTTAAAAAGTGCGCGTCGTACATTTGTAAGTTTAATGTTATACATACACATGTGTTTATTTACTGTACTAATGACTTATTCCTTCCACCTGTTATCCTTATCCTAAATACTATTTTATAATTGTCAACGGCCAATCAACTCTATAGTATCACTGTACTCACACTGTCTACTACTCTCTTCCATCTGAAACCAAATTATGAAATAGAATATTTTTTCTTTTGATTCTTTGCACTGTGTTTACTTTTTAATTAATTTGCTGCATGTTCTCTTTATTGGTTAGCTTTACATGTGTTTTTATTTAGATTAGTTAATGACTATTTATACAATTAACTATACGTACTACTATTTAATTTTGTAATTAATGGTCTATCCTGTTCGTGATATGACAGGTCCTCGGGTGCGGTTAGTGTGGACATGGTAAACATCTCATTGGGTCCTCTACATTTATCTAGAGATACCCATTGACGTTGGTGACATGTACAATACACTCTAGCCCATTCGGTTGATCTGTCATGCTCATGTTATCCCCTTATTCTCTTATGTTAATTTGTATATTTAACACGTTAAATGTACTAATGGTTATTATGCTTATGACATTAATTAAAACTTAATATTCTGAAGTACCTTAGATTTAAATCCAGTTAATATTTTATATATATGCTAATTTGTTCTTATAATGAATACTTATATTGATTATTGGAACATTGTTCATCATGCGTTAGTGTAGAGTCATTGTTTTTTTTAGAGAACATAGACTATTTGAATGCTCGGCTGTCTGTAGATCGTTTGTCTATACTATTGTAATAAATTACTCTAATAATCCTACACTAATGTGGATTACATTTTAATTTGCACTTGAAAATTATTGGTTGGGTTTGGTTTGTAAGTATAAATAATAAATAAGTATAAACTGAATATGATTAATTTCGGTTTTTTATGACTGTTGTCCCCTTCAAATTTTATTATTTTTTCCTAATTGTATCTTTGGACCATATTTAATTTTTGCTATTGTTATTTTAACATTTTTTATAACAATACATTAAAAGACCACAAATCATTTTATTGTAGACGCTATTCCTAAAAATTACGATTTTTTAAATCAGTAAATTTCAACATTTAAAATTTTTTTAAATTTAAAATTGTCATAACTCTTTTTAGAATTGGTTTAATTAAAACAAATTTTTTTTTAAATACTTTAGGTATTTATCTTTTATTAGGTATATATATTTTTTTAAATCTTATCCTTTACAAAAAGAATTAAAAATAGCAACTTTCCAATGAAATTGACTTTTGAAAATGTTAAGGAGATATCCGAGCTTCAAACATATGTTAAATTAAAGTTCACGTTACACACTATAATTATAAAAAAATTGTCCGACTTGTCTTCGTTATGCACAAGGCCGCTGTAATTAAAAGCACGTGTGTTAAAATTCGCGTATTAAATTTTAGATTTTCAATTTTACATTGTTCTAACTTTATGAAAGATGTATAAATCAATACAATTTTTTTTTTTTTTTGGGGTATTTTATACATATTCATTTTATCCGGCATACTTTTTTAAAAATCGAACTATTTCTCCTTATACAGAGGTTGATCAATAATTGAATCATACATTTAAAAAGTAGAACTTTTTTAACTTAACATTTGATATTTTTCTGAAAATACTTCGAGTTTTAAACATACCTTAAATCAAAGCTTATGTTACATACTACAAGTTAAAATAAAATTTTGATTTTTAAATTTCATTAAATATCTCCCATAATAACTATATAATTTAATATTGTTAGCGATTTTGTCCATTTCAGTCACAGTATCTAAGTTAAAGACCTTTTTATTTTTTACTTATTATATTTATGTGATGAGTAAATATACGGCAAATTTGTGTATAACATTAAATTCCAAAAAATTTAAATTTTCAGTTCAGGAAAAAAAATATTAAAAAATCTTTAAAATTTTAAATTAGAATAACTATTTCAAAATGTTTCATATTATAAAAAAAATATTTAAACTGTTATTGTTATTATTTTTATTATATATACGTATAATGTACATTTATACGTTATTATATTTTAATGCTAAAATAGGTCACATTCAATGTCTGAAAATTTTGCAAAACATCAATTGAGACGATAATGGCGTTTTAATACCTTTTATACAACACAAAATATAAATAATTACTTATATGTATAATCATTATTAATATGATGTAAACAATTTTAGTGTCATTTACTTTATCATCATATAATTCATATTTCATTGATTACATGAAATAACTGTTAAAGTTGAATTTTGTTTTCAAGCAAGTTATGCTTGTGTTGAGTTAACACGTTTTTTTATTCGACTAGGATACTTTAAATTATGTTTTTAATGAGGAACTGATGATTAATACTATTCCTACGTTTTTTTTAATATGGCAAATTTACCTTTTTTGGTCTCACGTTTGGCATCACTAATGAATATTTTTTTATTTGTTCGGCATCAATCGAACATATGGCCACCATCGTAAGTAACGTTATTACTGTGATTTTCGCAAACATTTTGCTGTTGATATTTAATAAACGCCTACTCGAGTATAATATTTGCTACAGCTTTAACTGGTTTGTGAAATAATAACATTGTTGCTATGACTGAACAGACTACCGGTACTATTCAACAGTCTGAGGTCACGCACAGAAAATCTGTTGAATTTCACGTTGCACACACGCTAAGCAAGACGACATTCATACAACACACTAACACCTGAACCCACAGCATTCGGTGTAAATACTGTTGGACGTTTTCTAAGTAGTTGACTCTCCCCACTTTTTGTGAGTACTGTTGTACTTGTTTCTCCATGCGCGTCCTTTGACGTTGGTTCTATCGATTTTACTGGAGCACACAATTCAACAGGCAGCAGTTTTGCGTAGGTGTCTAGAAATTATGTTATTCGCATTTGAACTGCAAAGGTTGCGTCATGAGTTAAATGTTTATTAAGCTTATTTCATAAGTGTAATATTGATATGAAAACAATTATTCGACTTCAAAAACAAGTCATTAAGTTTATTAAATTGTTAATTTATTATTCACTCAACTAAATAAAACAACAAATATTCAGTGAATTAATGAAGTGTTCATTAAAGTAAAATAATGCGATCCTTGTTATAACCCTTGTTTGTGATCTTATATATATTTTTTGAGTAACAAATAAATCAAGTGAAAAACTTTACTATAAACGACATTTTTTGTCAAAAAATGACAATTATGTGATGTAACAAGTTGCTACTTAGCCACTAAAGAACCTTAAAATTACGTTTTAGATATCGATATGCCCAACGAATAAGGCAGTGACTCACTAATTTTTCAGGATATCGAAAATAAAAATTACTCTCAGATTACACACTATATGTTTATCAATTTTCTTAGTAGTTTAATTCCAATTCAATCCAAATTGTCAATATTTTGATGAAAGTTATTATAAGAAGAGTAAAACCTAAATTCAAATACCTCATAAACTTATAAATGGATTTTTTTAAGTTACTATCTTATTCGTTGCGTATTATTATAGTCTCTCTTTTCAATAAATAGCCATTTTTTAATTATTTTAGCTATTTTATTGTTCCGTAACAATAATGATGTTTCATATATTCACCTTTAAAAATGATAAATTACTCTAGCAAATTTTATTGACCAAAAATAAATTACATAGCAGATTTTTCCAAAGAAAAATATGTTTTTTACCCAGAACTTCATTTATATATGTCTAAATTTTATTTTAGCTTCGATGCGAAGCTGAGAAGATATTAGTTTTATTATGATGTGTTTTTTTTTTTTTGGGTCTGTTACCACTTTTTCTCAGCTCTCACCGATCCGATTTCTTTCAATGATACGTCAAAAGATCACAAATTGTATCTAGTTGAAGACATTACCCTAAAAAATATAAAAATTGAAAGTGTTGAGGAAATACTGACACTTTTATATATATCTTAAATTAAAGCTAATATTACATACTTTATTATGGAAAAAAAAAAATTTCGGATTTTATTTTGTCTTCACAGTGAAAATGGCTACCGTATGTTATTTTTGTGTGAAAATTCTCGATTTTAATTTTAAAATTTTTAACTTTATAATGCTATAACTTATTGAAAAGTGTATGGATCGACACAATTTTTTTATAAGAAATAATATTTTTTATAGCTTGAAGTACTTGAGGATATATCCATGTTTGCAAATGAGTTCTGACGTTTCGGACTCATTGCAGAGTCCATCTTTAGAGTGATAGTTGCTAGTCGGTGGCTGCAACTATACTGGCGGCTTATCTTGATAACAGTCTGCATTTATAAAATTTATAACATCTGGTTTTTGACTAACGTTGTTTGCCGTATCAGGGTTTTTGACTAACGTTGTTTGCCGTATCAGGGTTTTTGACTAACGTTGTTTACCGTATCCAGGTTTTTGACTAATGTTATTGACAACATTTCGATTTTTGTCAAAATTACCATTCCTGGATGTAATGGTAAAAAACACAGCCTAATGGGAAATTCGGCACAGGAGTGTATAGAAACAGTACACCTACAGATAGATATTTACATGCCGATTCGCACTATAGCTCCTCACAGAAAATGGGATTATTACACATAATGGCAACAAGAGCTGTCAGAATAGCTGATGAAGACCATGTGAATGAGAAAAAAACATACTTACGACAATCACTAAAGAATAATGGGTACACAATGAAAAACATTAATAAGGCAATTAAAAAAGCAGAGAAAAGAAAAAATGCAACGCGTATCATGGTTGACGAAAACAATGAAGATGAAAAGAAAGGAACATTAATACTGCCGTACATACAGAGAATTACCGACCACATATCAAGGATCGCACAAAAATTCAAATTAAGAACCGTCTTCAAACCAAACACCGTAAACAACGTTAGTCAAAAACCCGGATACAGTAAACAACATTAGTCAAAAACCCGGATACGGTAAACAACGTTAGTCAAAAACCAGATGTTATCAATTTTATAAAAGCAGACTGTTATCAAGATAAGCCGTCAGTATAGTTGCAGCCACCGACTATCAACCATCACTCTGAAGATGGACTTTGCAATGTGTCCGAAACTGCAAACATGGATATATCCTCAAGAACTTAAAGCAACAAGACAATCCATGAAAGCTTTAACACATTTATAATATTTTTTTAATAATCCCTCTTTCATTCGACATACTTTAATTTTATCAGGATGTTAATAAGAAATACATTAGTATTTGGAGATTTGTTACGCGTTTATAGCCGAGTTTCCATTACTCGTCTACTCTCCTAGTATTCGTTATTTGTTTATATTTATCAAGCAGTGGGAATGATGAACTGGTACAAATGTTCGACATTCGTTATTCGTCATCTTAAGTTGTGTCATATATCAAATATTCGTCTACTCGTACCTGTACACAAATATTCCGACTACTTGTATACTCGCCGAATATACGACAATCACTGATTGTTCATCTACTAGCACAAGTAGACAAATACCGACAGATTTTTTGAAAATATTTTTTTGGATTTTGTTAGTTACATATATATTTCTATATACCTGTTATAAAATAACTTTTAGGTTCATTCCCTATATCTTATACAGGTGTCAACTAATATCACACATATTAAAGCTTATAAACTTTTATAAAAATAAATAGTTTTTTTGTATCGAGTATTCAATAACAATAAAAATGTGGAAAATACAAAATAATTTTACATATAGACGAGTAATCAGAACGGTAGTATTTGTCTACTTGTACGAAGAGACGAATATTTGGTATTCCCCTACATTCGGCAAATAGACGAGTAATGAGAACCCAACAAAAGAATATTATTTTGTATGTATATTAGCTTCGATGCGAAGCTGAGAAGGTATTGGTTTTACTAAGATGTGTTTTTTTTTTTTTTTTGTGTCTGTTACCACTTTTTCTCAGCTCTCACCGAACCGATTTCTTTCAATGATACGTCAAAAGATCACAAATCGTATCTAGTCTAAGACATTACCCTCAAAAATTGAAAAAAATTCCCTCATTCCCCGTAAATGGGGGAAACCTCCGAAAAAATTACAAATTTAAAAATGGCTAATTTTCGAAATTTTTTCAATTTTTTTTTACTAAAAACTGCCGTAACTTTTTTAAAAATAAACATATCAATATAATTCTTTTTTTTATAGATGCATGATGTCATTACCTATCATTTGGTATATTTTTTTTTATAAATCTGACTTTTTACCTGCCCACAGGGGGGTTTCAAAATGACAAATTTTTCACAAAAAATTGACTTTTTCAACTTAAATTTTGAAAGTGTTCCGGAAAGTCTGACACTTTTATATATATATTAAATTAAAGCTAATGTAATCTACTTTATTATGTAAAAAAAATTTCGGACTTTATTTTGTCTTCACGGTGAAAATGGCTACCAAATGCTATTATTGTGTGAAAATTATCGATTTTATTTTTTACATTTTAAACTTTATAATACTACTATTTTTTAATAATCCCTTTTTCATTCGATATACTTTTTCTGAATCAGGATATTAATAACGAACTAGCAGATCATGTTGCTTTTGGAATAATCCACCTATTTTTTTAAATTAAACACTATCTAAAGATTTGCATCGAAGCGTTTTTTATGATAGTGATTTTAATCATGGTTACACTAACCTATTTAAAAAAAAACTGTTGCGGTATCACCATTATTGTCGCGGACGTAGGTTGGTTTTTTTTTTGGTAAGTTTGTAATGTATACACATTATCATCATATGTATACACAGTAATCATGAAAAGATAGCGTTTTCTTCTGTCCTTTTCTCAATACGTATATCAATGTTTAATACCGTAAAATAATACATGAAAATTCAAATTTTCACAAACTTCAAAATTCTACACAATANACATTTTCCCCTTACAATTTCCACTGTCGGATTCTTGATTATAATTTAGTGTTCTTTTTGTATTTGTATATTCTCTTCCTACTACATCAAAACTCCATTACCATCAGTCTATGTTGTGAAGTTATACTCTCGCCCGGGATAATTTAATAATTTTTTACTTGCTTTACCCTCTCTCTTCCACCTAAAATAATCAATTAATATTCTTCCCTTTTTCTAAAACAAGTATTAAATACAGCAACATTATACGATACTGCAAAATCCAGGATTCTTCTCAAGACTCATTCTTCTCATTAAAACCATATCCTTTATGTACTCTTTCATATCCTCTCTTCTCATTACCTGCATGTCCATTCATATATTCAACTGTCACCGCATTTCCATTACCAGATATTCCTTGCATCACCTCATCCATCTCTCTCCAAAACATTTCCATGACTATTTCATTACATTCTACTTGCTGTGCATAGGCACTTATTACATTCAACACTTTTTTCTTAATTTTACGATTATAATTTTGACACTTTTCCTATCTACTTCTACTACTTTACTTTTCACCTCCTCATTCATTATTATCCCTACATAATTCTTCGTATTGATCTTACCTGAATGCATTATTTTATAACCATCACCTATTTCCCTTACTTCCTCTCCCTTCTACTAAGTTTCTTGCACACAGCAAATATTAACTTTTCTTCTCTTCAATACTTCTACTAATTCTCTACTCCTACCAGTTAATATTCCAAGATTCCACGTAGCTATTCTTACTTTGTATCTATCTTTTACACGAGTCCAGCCTAGAGTTTAATGAAGACATGCTTACACCGTCGGCACTACAAGTGTTTAGTAGGCTTATACAAATGACTGGTGAAACAGCTACTGCACAAGTTGTCCGGCTAGTCTCAAACACTTTATTCTTTAGGCTTTCTTTGTCTTTAACTACTTTATTTCCTCTCGCCTGTTGTCCCCACGTACTTCCGAAATGGAACAATCCGCCTAAGTTCTGTTTAAGACTTCTCATACTTTTTTACAAAATTTTACACTGGCTGTTGACTTGACGCAACCTCATTAGTCGCCTCTCACAACTGGCAGAGAGGCCTTGGAAGTATTCTTACCCTTTTTCCATGAGAGTTGTTTTTGTTACACCAGGGCGCAAGCGAAATTCCTAATTATGACCCTTGAGTAGCTTAGTACCTATTCACAACCCATTACAATAACAAAAAAATTGTTATTAGTTATTACATTGTCATTGCTTTTCTCTAATATCTATGAAATATTATTAAATCGTTGTTTTTTTTTATTTTTGACAATTTTTTTATTTATACATTTTATTAATTTAATAATAGAAAGGAATAATCGAGACAGGAATAAGTATGTAGTGTATAAAGCGGGGAATTAAAAAAAAAAATACAAATCTTGAAAAAAATAATGTATTATTGATTGATACACCCAAGCAAATGGTTTAAAGTTCACCTTATAATATTTCAATTTTCTACATACAGTTCATCATAAGAAATTGTTTGACAATATAGATAAAAACAATGAATTCTATAAAGTCCACTGATCAAAATTTGTCCAATCTTGTTAAGAAAGACTCTACAATAGGTAAGGAAACAGTGTATTATTTGATTTTATAGATCCTGATAGTTTGATTTATATTATAAATATTAAAGATGGAAATCGAATCGAAATCGTATAAAGTAGTATACTTTAATTATCCACCGAGTTTTAACTTAAACAACGTGAAAAGACAATTTTTCTAATAATTATTATATTTGAAAACAAAAAATGTTGAAACAATTGATATACATTGGCTCATATATTCGATAATTAGAGATTTACTATTTTTACTACAAAGTGTTTCAAAAATCTAATTATTCATTAAGTACAGCGGGCCAATGCGATTAAAGATATTTATCTTGCATTGTTGATCAACATGAAAACTCTTTAAATCTTTTGTAGTGCTGCACCAACTCAGGTTCGTCTCTATATCTTATAGAGACGATCAGGGGTGTATCTTACACCCCTGATCTTAATTTTTTGTTTTATTTTGGAAACAAAAAATTATAATGCGATTCAAGTATTATTTTAATGAAAAAAAGTAATAAATAAAAACTTTAATTAATTTACTTTGAAATATTATATTTTAGTATTCTTAGAATAAAATGCAAATTTTGAAAATTTTATAACATGAAAATAAACTAAATAATTTTTCCAAAATTTTTATTTATTTCATTTTATTGAAAAACTCTGTAACTATCTATTTTAACTCATCACTTTAACATAGATATAAAAAACATATCAAATGAAACTATTTTTATTTCAAAAATTTAAACAAACTTTAAATGATCCCAAGTTATTTACATAGTTAATACAACAAATGTTTTATAAAATAAATCCTAATAATTAAGTGAACTAAATAATCATATATTTTCATTTTCAGTATTGGAAAATGAAGACATACCAATACTATAAGGGCATGTTGTTACTAACATAGACTTAGGTAAAGTATTTGAGGAACTTAATTCTAAATTTTGATATCTAATTTTTAACATTTCTTCTTTAAGTTTATTAAGTATTGCAAAGTTTGGTTGATTAACAGCAGCTTTGCTTTGTAATTGAGTTATTTCTTGTTCTTCTTGTTTTTTTTCCTTAGCATTTTTAATACTACGGTTACCATATAATCGTAATAATGAACCCCAATTATCAATGTGAGGATGTAATAATCCTAAAATAACTTGAGAAGCTTTCTGTTTACCATCTCTTTTATTTTTGCAAGCTACAGAAGCTGTATGTTTCCCGACAGTCATTGTACATTGATTTAACATTCTACGGCGATTATTCAGCTTATATTCTATTCCTATATCACATTCACCAAAATTTCTTTGTAAACAAACTAGCAACATAGCATATGGTGATGGTTCAGTAGTTTTTGCACAAAATTCAGTTATTCTAGGATCAGTTACTTTTATTTGGTCAAAGATAACTGGATCAGATAGATTTTTTTGCTCTGAATCTATTTTACTTTTCATCTCTGGTATAAGAATATCCAATGTTGCTTGTGCAGCATTTAATTTTGCTTGTTTTTTACTATTACCTATGCCAACCCCATATTGAACATCATTAAGAACAACAGTAGCTGAGTAAGGAGTTTCAAGATTATCAAGTTCTTTGAATTCATACCATGGTTGTGTTTTTAATGCTTGTTGCAAATATTCATGCAAAATACTAACATAACTTTTACCATTAGGGTTCATTATCCATTCTCTCCGCCTACTACAACGTTTGTCATTATCTTCAGTTTGTAAAGGAAATGAGATTAACTTAGTACTATCTGGTAATGAAGGCCTTTCTTTAGTTTTTACTACTGGATTTTTATCAAATTCAGATTTTAATTCAACTTCTTCATGATTTACACAAGATAACTTGACTTTTTTAAACCTAATAAAAAAATTTAATATCGTTAGTGTATATTTTATATAGGATGTTCTATAAGTAAGGGAATTGGTTTCTATTGTTTTCATTGTTTGTAACAATTGATCTGATTCCTTACTTACTGAACAATCTATATATTTTTTAAGGCTGAAATAAGAGACCTTTAGTTTGGGTCTCTAAAAATTATGGCCAGACTTAATAAATTTTCAAAGAAAAACTTAATTATGATACCAAAAATTAATTAATATTACAATATATAGAATGTACATTTTTCGAACCATAGTAATATATGAGTGGGTATTCTGGAGAGGAGACAAAATAGTCTCATTATTTTCTTTTTATCTACAAAATTGGGGTTTTTTGAATTACCACAAATTTATTTTTTAACTAAACAAATTAATAAAATAAAGTAATTTAGAAGGTTTCAACATGAAAAACCCATACAAATTAAAAAAAATATATATTCCAATCACAATTACAAATATTATAATTGCATAAATATTACAATTAATGTTATATGTAACACAATAAAATAGTAGGGGTCATTTTGGCATGAATTTTTTTTGGAAAAACCGAATCCCACATCTTGTATGAGAATTTCTAGAGGAATATCAAAGTATAGTTTATTTTTATTTTTAGAGATGCTCCGAGGTGTTATTTCAAAAATCTCTAATTTTATAAGCAAAAAAAAACAGAATCCTATTTTACGTATTTCTAGGATATTCATTTATATTACTTAAGCTTGAAAGATTTGCACTCTATTTATATATTAAAAACAGATATTGCTGAGTCGAAGGAGTCAAAGTGATATTTTGGTAAAAATCAAAAAAGTGTACAACTGAAAATTAAAATAACTACTTTTTTGAAATGATTAGAGTAAATTTTTATTTAACATTTTTCTATTTATCATCAACATTTTTTTACTGATTGTATTACAAAAATAATATTTTTTAATTTTAATTCATTTTTCTCGCAGTAAATTTTTTGAAAATTCAGCTTTAGATGTATCAAATAGTACGGTGCTATAAGATAGTAATGGTACTTGAACATTTTTTTTAGTTACTGTAGATATTGATAACAAAAAAATAATTTGCTTTAATAATATTTAGTTAGTAATATTTAATACCTACCAACCAATAAATATTAACAATAAAAAATACAAAAACTTTATGTTATTAGATTTAAAATTAACTAATTTTTCGTATATGGACATTAACCTGTTATTAAAAATTAATATTGAACAGAGCTTTAAGTAAGGATGGACAGTTACAAATATTTAAATCACAGCTAGCACAGTATTACTTACTATTTATAATGCACCTAACATACAATTAAATAATTGTTTTATGATTATTTGAAACCTGTGTGTGTATTAAAGTGATTATATTATCTAAATAATCATATGAACAATTACTTGCCAATGTGTATAAGATTACACTTTTGTTTTTCATAAATTTCTTTTTATACTTTTTTATGTGTTAAATGACAAGCTGCATCACTTTACAATTTAATTACTTCTTTAGCATACATTTCTGAAGGAATTACAAAGTTGTTTTTAACATTTTCCTTCATAGATTTTAGAACATGAATGATTTCTATTTTAGAGCAATTTTGATTTTGACACATTTGTTGTAATGCATTCTATACTAAAGGCAGTATTACAATATTTTGTTTTATGTTTAAGACAAGTACATTGTGAGCCAGATTGACATATGTTAAAAAGAAGGTCAATTTATACTAATTACTAGGATGGTAAATGTCCTACAATACTAAATTTTTTATTTAATAATATGGCATTCAAGCCATCCTAAGGGTCATGTGAGTGTCACATCCCTACTTAGCAAAATTTTATAATTTATGTCTGTAATATTTATTATAAAAAGATACTACTACAAAATATTAATAATTAAAAAAGGCATACAAATTAAAAAAAAATGTTCAATAGTCAAAAATGAATTTTTTTATCTATCCTCATATTTTTATATTTATAAAAAATCAAGACTTTAAAGTTGATTATCTCAAAATGTATTTTTTTTTAAATATATTCTTATGATATTGATAGTTCGATATCTATTATGGACAAATAAAGTATACAATATAGTCCATAGATAAAATCAATCTATTTTTAAAAATTAAGTAACTTTATAATAAACTCAATTATTTTATTTTCGGTATGAATAGATTTTAATTATTTTTTTGTTTTTAATAAAATATTATTCAACCTGAGAAATTACTACATTATAATTGAAAAATAAAAGATAATTTTTAAAATATAATAGAAGTGCAATGACTTAGTATAAGAACCATATATTTTAATAATAAGATATTTCACTAATTAAATATCTCTATAAACTAATAGACAGTGCTTAGAGAGTTAAATCTGGAGATCATTTTCAGAGAATAAACTGGTAACAAAGGGATAATAAGTGTTACTGCCAAAATATGTTTATTCTCTCTCACGCCTCATTAAGAGATAGTAATATTATTACCCATAATATGGGCAATGTCTTATTTTTCACTCAATATTATTCCCAAGAACCATGGAAAGTATAGATTATATTTTTTAGGTCTCTGATTGTAGTTAGAATAAGTTAATTATTTATTTGTTTATTGATTAGGTTGATGAATTTTTTAACTACATTTAATCATTACACAAAAATTCATAATTCAAACCAATGCAAAATTCTGATGAGTAAACATTTAGGTAGGTCTATTTATTTTTGTCAATGAATGCTATTAATTAGTCAAAATTAACATTTTATTTTTTAATAATAATAATGATAAATTAGATACTATTATAAAGTTTACCCTCAAGCATAAAATGTTGAACTTTATGAAGTTGAATGGAATCAAAGTATAAATATTGTAATGTTTATACTTAAACAGAAGCAATATTAATATATGAAAATAGTAGTTCAGAAAATAGTAGGAAACTGGTAAAATTTCTTTAATTGATTTTTTTAAAACTTATTTCATTTTTTAGACCTACAATTTAGAAAAAAGAATGTATCAAATATTTCTTTTATGGTTTGTATAATAGAGTTTGGATGACCTAATTATGGATAATCAAAGTTGTACTGTATTTCTAAAATTTAAATTACATAAGAAAATACTTTACTGTAAGTAAATACAAACCTAAAAAGTGATTGACAATACTCTCGTAGCTCTTCATGAGATAAGGATTCTTTAACAATATTCTCCTGGGCAGTTTCAACTTTAGCATTTGGTATAATCATATCTCCAATTTTACTTGTTGGATTTTCAGAATTACTATTGGTATTATTTTGAGCTTGTATAGCTCTTTTATATTGTAAACAACTGATAGCAGATAAAGGTGCTAAATGTGATTTTGGATTACCTGGACCTAAAAAATATGGTCTAGATAATGTAACAACTCTAGATTTCTTATGTAAATAGATAGGCATTCCACTTTTGTGGGTTGCTTCAATCCAATTTTCTGGTAAAATATCAAAATGATTTTTGCAAACTTCTTCCAGAACTATTTTTTCATACTCTTTGAAATCATTTGAATTAACATTGTTTGTATCGCACAAATTAGGTTCCTTTATTTTTTCTTTTAATGCTTCGTCTAATAAATTATATACTTCGTCGGTTTCTACAGTATCAATGTGATTTTTTGTCTGTTTTAAAGAATTATTAGTTTTTTTATGAAATTGACTATCATTAGGTTCACATTTATCTAAAAATCTATGTGATCCACTTATTTCATGATCATACTTTTCTAATTCAAACTCTCCATCTGAAATAGGTTCATAATCACTATCGCTTTCACCTAATTTATTAAGAGAAATTGATTGATCTTCTGTATCTGACACTTCAGAAAATATACTATTGTCATCATGAGTCTCATGGCTGTTTAACTTAAAGTTTTTATCAAATTCACAAAGATTTCTTTTTTTTGAAAAACAACTGGAATCTGATAAATTTTCAGTATTTGTGTTAATATTGCCACTGGTGGTTAATAATATATTATCAGATTCAATTTTTCTTTTCTTCTTCAAATAATCTTCCAAAATATAATTATTTTCATCAGAGGACATAGTAATAAATTACGTTTTTATACAAAAATAATTTCTAAAATATTTTGAAAATTTAACTTCAATATTTATTTTTCAAAGTAATTTATGGTTTTAGCTAAAATTTTAATTTATTTAATAATGTAAGCATAAAATATACATTATTTGGTTCAATTAAGGTGTAATTAAAAACACAGAAATCATGATAATAATAAATTTCTATAAGATTTTTATATTAGTTCGCAAAGCAAGTCAAACATATACTTTTAAATAATAAAGTGATATAATACAGAAATGTTAAATTTTTACCTATTTTATAGTATGTATGTAAATTACTTAGATAATAGATTCTTTATTATCAATCAAGGTGGATTCATGAAACTGCCATATTATCAGTGGTAAATAATCATATGTGTTAAACACAATCTAAAAAAATTGATAAAAAATCACGTGGTTGATTAATTATGTGTTAGTTAAAGAAATCACTTGACTAAAGATTCATTAATGATTTATTATTTGAAACTTGTAACAATTAATTAATATATTTATAATTTTAATATATCTTAGTATGATTATATTAATTTGAAAGTTTTTGACGAAAATATTATTATTTTACAATGATAACTTTAAACTTTATTAATACATTTGATAGTTTAACAAAAAATCCATTAGAGTATTTAGAGTATGTATTATATTAAAATAAATTAAGCATAGTTATTAGTTTAACTTATGTTTTTGTTTTTAGTGTTCAAACTCATGTTAGTGATAAAATATCAAACTTCCTAAAAGAATTGTATGATTCAACTAAATCAACGGAAGTTAATTTAAAAAATTTGGATGATGCACTTCCAGAATTGATAATTAATGAATTTGATGAAGAGCAAATATGGCAAGAGTTAGAGCTTCAAAATTCTACTCGTTTTAAATTTCTTGCTAAAAATATTCAACAAATTACTGATAACGATCTAAATTTTCTCTCAAGTGTTGGAAGTAAGATTTCTGTTATTTTGTTAGGTGTGATTATTCCTATACCATTGTGGCAAAAAAGTAATTTTATTGAACAAAAAAAAAAAACAAAAAATCTTGATATTATATGTATATAAATCATAATAGTTGAAGATTTTTGCCAGAATGGTTCAGATTTTAATGTTGACTACTTTATTTAAAAATTATTTGTATCTTTTGAAACACTAGTTAAAACATTATAAACCTGTCATTTTCTAGAAAATTCCTTTTTTTTATATCACCTAGGAAGGTTGATGTAAATCAATTTTCACTACTTTTCAAGACAAACAATTTTATGTTTAAATTTTTTTTTTTTTTTTGTTGGTCATTTTAAATAAAATAAATATTATTAATTATTTAAAATCAATGACAAATTATAAAGTATATATTGATTAAAAAAGTTTTAAAAAAATGATTCATTGAAACATATTATATGTGATAATATTATTATCAATCATTTTTTGGATCACATTTAATAAATATTTAACTGTCACAGGCTGTTTAGTCCAAGATAGAGAATAATGACTGTTATAATAATTTTATTTACATAATAATTTGATTTCTCGTAAATTTTCATTTAAAAATACATTTTAATTAAAAATTAAAATTATCATCAAATATAGTTATTGAAAATCTTATTTATACCATAGACTATTAAATATTTTTTGTTTATAGTTAAAAATGTCGATAATATTTTCCTTTACTATAATGATAAATAGAGTTAAAAGCTTTATCAAGTAAAATAAAAAATAATTATCTAAAAAAATTAATTTCAACATGATTTTAATAATAAATTGGGGTTGTTATGTCAATGCACTGACCTTCAGTTACTAAAATATTGTTATAGAAACAAATTTTTTATTATATACATTTAGATAATAAAAACACAATTGAATCACAAAGTGATTCTGAAGAAAATAGTGAGTGTTCATTTGTAAACACACAAAGTGAAACTGAAATACAAGAAAGTGAAAGTGAAAATAATGAAATCATTGATGACAGAAATACTTTAAAATCTAATTATGGTAATGTTTCAATATTTTAATTAAAGGGTAGGTTATGTACAAAAACAAGATAACTTCAGGAAAATAAAAATAATAACATTTTTAACCATACCATAAAATTTTTCTGGGATTAAAGTATTCTTCATTATTATCCTAATTTAGAAAAATGAAAATTTAATTTAAAAAAATGGAGTTATCTTGTTTTTGTATAAAATAAAAAATAATAATTTACGCACAAGCCTTATTCTAAATTTTTAAATGAAAGTGTTTGGTAAATCTCTTTTTACAATTAAATTGATTTTTATTTTCAATGTGAAAATCAATTGAAACTAAATATAAATTTAAACAAAACATAATATTTTTTTAAGTATTTTTAATAATAATATAACCTTTATTTACTCACAATAAAACTAATACCTAAATAAAAAATGCAAGAAATATTTTTAAATATTTTTTCTTATATCACTTCACAAAATTGTTAAAAATTTTTCAAACTTATTATATGAGCAACATTTAAGTGAGAATATAAATTAAATGAAAATATCATTGCTTTTTAATGATAGCATTTTGCTTAAATCAATAATTATTTTAATTAAATTTACTTTCTTGGTTTATTTAAAAAGATATTTAATGCTCTATTATTTATTAAAAGTCATACAATTTAACTTTGGCAACTATAAACGAAATTTTTTCAATATTACTGATATGTTGGTTCAAGATTCTAAACATGACATGGAAAAAAGTTGCTATTAATCACTTTCTTATAAGCATTTTAATATAATTTTTAAAATAAATCTGTTATGATTTTAATATTTTTTTATATTTTTATTTGCTTTATCAGCCCATTAAGGGCCGGAGTGGCCTCCCCTCCAAAAGTAGGTTTCTTAACCATTGATACTCCAGGACGGGTGGTTAGTTTGTCGCTGCTGAGAGGAATGGCGACTTCAATAACCGAACTGATCTCTCACTCGGCAAATGAAGTCGCCCGTGACCAATTTTCGAACCCAAGGCTGTCAAGCACTGCAACGTTACCGACTAGACTACACCGTAACTCTTAATTTTTAAATATCTTAATAAAATTATATCTATAATAATCAATAATCCGTGATAATTTTTGAAGGTACTAGGAAAATTTAGCATTCTCATATTTTTTAATCTAGATACACTTATAAATTTAGGTCTCTTAAATGTTTAGAAAAAATGTCTCTGTATAGTTTTTCAATGGCTACAATAATACTATAAAAAATTCAGTAATATTATATGATAAAGTCCCTAGCAAAATGTTGTCTTTATTTTATTAACTTATTGCTAGTTTAAGCTTTTTTTATTTTTAATTTAAAATAAGTCATTAAAAAAATGTCTTTTATTTCTCTTTTTATTATACCAAGTTTCTCTTCTATGACTTCAAAGTGCCATTTATTAAACATTAAGTTAGTTTGAGATTTCTTTTGTAAATTATAATTTAATAATATAATATAGTTTTTAAAATTTTCAATTTTATCAATGATTTTTCTAATTTAGTACTGAAAAAATCAATTGTTGATGATGACTTTTTTAAATTGTCTGAAATGGAAAACTTCTTGTTGTCCGAAGAAAAGACTGAATCTGGAAAACAACCCATATCTAATGATGATGATGATATTGATTTATTTCAAAACCTTGAGACCTCAGATAATGAAGTAATTAGTTTTTATTTGATTATAAACAATATACTGAATGAGGCATTTAAACTACTGATATAAAAAGTTTAATTATAAAATTACAAAATCAATTATTGGTAATTGAAATAAATCTAATAATATGACACTTACAATTTTTTAATAATTTATTTAAATGACCTCAATTTTTATCTATAAAAAAATATAATTTGGACCTGTTATACCCAAGATAGATGAAAAAAATGTGATATTAATTATTTGGGATTCAAGACTGCTATATTGTGTTGTTGTTCTTAAGTTTTCATCCTTTCGGTTTGCATTTAGTACACAGAATATTTTACTCAAATTGGTTTGGCTTAATCATTTTATGAAACAATGTGTTTTATGTATGTTTTCTATATGTGGAAAGTTAGAGCAGTTAATAAGAAAGAATAGTGGAAATCTTACACAAATTATAATAAAATATAAATGGCATGTTATTAAATTTATAATGTAAAGCTAATAAATAATTTATTTTCATTTATTTGCTCATTTTATAATTAAAATTATAAAATTGTCTTTATTTAGTGACTAAATATTGCTATTTAAAAAAACAAAGTTAACACTGCTAAAAGTTATAAGGGGTGACTCTTAACCCTTAAGCAGGCGCGTACCTATTTTTGTATAGCCGCGTGGGGGTCTATTAGACCCCATTTCTAAAAAAGTATAAAATGTGTATAAAAAAGTTCATTTTTTTAAATTCAAAGACATTTTTTACCATATGATATATAAATATGGATAAAAATTAAAAAATAAATAAATGACAAAATTATGTGCATTACTAAAAATTATATTACGAAAAAAAAAAACTTAATTTTCAAAATTTCATTAAAAAATTTTGGTTTGTAAAAAAATTATTTTAACTGCAAAATCTTATTTTTGAGATGGTAAATAAAAGCTTTTACTATTACAAAATGTATTTTTATTAATTTTTCTTGTATTTCTTTGAGCTCAAACACTGCTTATATTTATTAGTTTTATGTGTATTTACATTTATATAATCATTTTTCTTAATTGAATTTTTTTTTATTAATATTACAATACATTTAATTATTATGACACGAGTATATACAATTATTCGTTCATAGTAGCACATCGATTACCGATAATCAATGTATCCACATTGCGACGCGATGTATTTATTACATGTTTTGTTCCGTATCATCGAGTAGTGGAAATTCTCAATAGATTATTTATTTTTAAAACTTAATTGCACAGTCTGTGGCAGATCCACATAATTCCAATTCCACAATATTATATTGATTATAACATTGCATTTACGATAAAACAATATTTTGAACAAAATACAAGTCAAAAAAAAAAATTATAACGTTACAAGTCGCGTGGGGGTCAATATGACCCATTTCAACTTTGATGGATATTTTAGTTTTAGTTATTATCGAGGTGGACATAATGCCCATGCACTCAGACCTGTTGGTCCATTGTGCGCACCTCATACCGAATTGTCTTGATTCGGTTTATCCACCTAAGTGTTAATACATTTCCAACCATAAAGTCATCTCTAAAGATGACCAAAGAGTCCCGTCTTTCTGGCGAAATTAAGTATCTCTCTGGGTTTTAGGTTTTTAATATCTTCTTTTTCAGGAAAAGGTTTATTCAAGTAGTTTGATCTTAGTGTGGACAAGGCTTCACATTCGCACATGATGTGAAATGAGTCTTCCTCTTCTACTCCACACTTCCTGCACAATGGTGATTCCGATACCCCCATTGCGTTAAGATGTTTAAGCAGGTGACCATGTCCTGTCAGTAGACCAGTCAGGGTGCTTATTTGATGTCTAGTCATGCTATTAAGATCACCCAGCAATAAAC